GACGAATAATTAATTAATAACATTTCTCATATCCAATCTCTTTCGCTTACTTTTTGTATTTTTTATATTCCGTAGTAGTCGTCTTTTAATTTGTATCACGTTTAGCAATCGGGTTTTTGTGTCAAAGTTGGTAAAGTGCATTGATGCGAAACTCTGCCATAACAGAGATCGCAAGTCCAGCTTCGTAAAGCGTTCAACAACCTCTACTTGTCGCTTAAGACGGTGATATGTACGAGGAACAATTATATTGATCAGTCATACGTGTGTGTAGGACTTGGTGCATTTGCAATTTCACGCGCAAGAATCAAATCATTCGTCAATAATAACTAACTAACTAACATAGGACCCAGTATAGACAACTCCTTCACGCCCATCCAGCCTTGAAAGATAATTATGATGATTTTCCTGAATTCCGTCAGACGTATAGATCCACTAGCTGCTTTGCTCCTCCTAGTCGCGGTGTGACGTTTTATAGCCTAAAGCCTTGCTCGATAAATACTCTAACCAAAACAAGAATAATTTTTCAAGTCCTTAAGGTTAGCGCGTTCAAACAAATTAATTCTTCTGCTTTATAATATTAGTATAGATGAAAAATGTGTAATTTTATGAGCTAGAAACATCCACTCGCAGCTTCCAAAACCGAGAAGCAATCAACGGACAATTAGGTGTGTCAACTCGAATCGAGTATCCGATACTATGTCGAAAGGCCGTCGGGTCCGAATATTCCCACTGAATTATGCAAGAGTTGCGAGAACATACCTAGAATTAGGGTCAGCGAGTTTTTATTCTTACTTCCATGTGGGGCTTCGGCACGAGTTGTTTTCATTATTTATTCTCTACGCGTTTCTAATTTGGTCAATAATTTTAACGGCGCGACAGATTTATCTCGGTCAAAAAGTTTCACTTAATACTGAAATTGAAAATTGCACCTTGTTCAACAACAGTGGTAAGAGTAAGATGCGTTCTTTATAAACCCGTTTAATTATTAATACCTACATTCCACCAGCGCATATCCACTTTAAACTGAAGGTATATTGTTTAGAAGTATAATATTTAATATTTCTTATTATTAGTTAATACCTTTTAAGATCGAACAAAAATTTTAAATCGAAAGTGACCCATTGCATTACAATTAAATAATTTCCTCTATAACAGTGTAATTACAGCTTTAATTAGAAGAATTTGCAACGTTTTTCTAATTTAATTGTAACGAAAACGAAAAGTTTTAACAAACATAATTTCATCGATTTGTTCCGAATAGAAAAAAGGAGGAAACGAACTGACTAAATTATTAATTACACAATACAATCGATTCTCCATAGATCTCTGTCCGCGTTACCCGATTGTTTCATAACAGCCATAAAACTGTGTCCGTCATGGCTGTTAATGTATTATCAATTGTTTACGATCTTGGATTTAAGAGTTGCGTTTGTTAATAGCTTTTACGAGTAATAAGTCTGCGACAAAATATTATTTGGTGTTTTATTGTAGGTATAAATAGTAGTCGTCTTTTTACATTTGTTTTAAACTATGCCAAAACTTGCTATCTCCTATTGAGACATTCATTCGTATTCAAATGAAGGTAGACATTTGTCAAAGTTCTATAAATATGCATTTCTATTATGTCTATTACTCTCGCAATACAATTACAGTAAAAGTATACCGCATGTGGCTGATCAAGATAACACCATAATGCCATAACACACAATGGTTTTCCACGTCTCACTCTGAATAGACCCTCGAACCTAGATATGAACCTGGCGAGACAATTTAGCGCCCCTAGCACAGATGGCGTTGCGCAACAGAGGTGCGCGAAATTAAACATTATTGCCTAGGAATGTGTGCGAAATCGTTTCTCCGCAATTATTGTCATTATTACAGTTACGTCGTTACAATTATTATCTCTAATTGTTTAACAGTGTCTTTTCAACTGTATTTCTTTGTAGCTTGGGAAGCTGTGTGATTAGATTAGGAAAAAGAAAAGTTGTTGAGAAATTATATTGTCTATAACTGTTCGGAAATTATGGGGTACAGTTTATATGGTGCAGAAAACAATAATAAAAAAATAGGATGGGTGAGAGACGGGTATCTGTGTGGTATAGTGCTAGACTAGACTACAGCGGATGTTGACGGTATTTGAAGTTATAATTTTGGTACACTTTACTTATTCTAATAAGTCCCATTAATATACGATAGTTTAACTTGTTTTCAAAATGAAAAATAAGGTAATTGACAAGACGATTTATATTTAACCTCTTAACCAAGAGGATGTGTTCTATTATGCGCTATATTTATACTTTTGTGCCTACAGTCGACGCCTGCTCCACAAATGTCAAAAGAATTACATAAACGGTGTAAGAAACGCAATAACAAGCAACAATACAACCTCGTCTTGCGAGATTATCAACGTCTTGCCTTTTCCCATGCGTTTTGCGCACTCGACACAATGTTTTGCCTATTGCTGAGAAACTGGTTCCAACAAATCTAATTTAATAAGGGCCGATTTCACGAATGATAATATTGTTATACTTTTAGATGGTACTCGAAGAACATAAATATTATCAAGATTCAAGTGTTCTACGGATAACTAGCTGAGTCAGCGGCTTCGTCCACGTAGAATATTTGTTTTGGGCATCCAAATTTATTTTTGCAACCCTCTTCTTCATCTTTATTGATTTAAGCTATCGTCCACGACGTCGGACGCGTGCAGTCGTTTTTGCAAGATAATTACTTTATTATGAATATGAGTTAAGACTCTCTTTGATAGTCGATCGTCGTCCCGTCTTGTCATACGCCCTCACACCATAGAACGGGGCTTGAATATAAATGATGTGACCCGAGCACCGAATACAGGTGGTCAGCTTTCTCTCGTTGCCGAATAAAACTGGTTCCAAGAATTGTCTTCGCGAGGTGTAAAGGACATAATGGGTGCCGTAGGCTCCGCCGACGAGTGAGTTAGTGAGAAATGGCTATACTTTATTACGAAATGGTATTTGAATATTAAAATTATTTATTTATTCAGCGGAAACAAGTTGTTTTTTACAACTATCTTCAAAATTGACAAAAACTTCAAAAACAGTTTTGATTTAAACACAGAATATATTAATTTTAACTACTACCACTGTTTTTAGCAGCCGTGGTCACGGGGGTTCTCATCCTCCCTTTATTTAAATATAATAATGTGATTTACTCATTATCAATGAGATCATATTCGAATAAACTGCTCAAGTTGGCTGTGAATGAGAAACAAACGTTTACCCATTCATCCATCGTGAAAATATTGGTTCTTCGTTGGCCTGGAATAAATACGTATAATATTTGCGATTATGTATATGAGAAAAAGACGTACATACATCAGTGCAGAAATGATAATACCACTTACGATCTAAAACTTCGTCTACAACCTACTTATTGCTTATAAATGTTTGTGTACCTCATACGAAAGATGACGCCATTGATTTGAGCTTCATCTGACGGTATATTGACAAACTCGATTGTTCTATTCATCTGTTTTGTTGGCGTGTTGTATTTAACGACTCTATTGCATCCATTGTATAATTATATGTCACTTAGGAATATATTAACTGTTTGAGATGATGACATCTCTTCGTTCTGTTATCATGTTATAATAATAACATTATGCGATACATAAATATTCATTCTAGGGTTTATCAGTACTTACGGTAAAAATCCATACTACCGTTAGGAGGCTTATACTCGTAAGTTATAACACTGGAATACACTCTAACTAAAGCTTGTGCCGTTGGTTACATCTACAGTTGTCACTGTTTAGCAGGAAACCAAGGATTTCTGGAATTGGAATACTGCAGATGACTTTGATACCGAGTCGTAAGATAATTTATATAATAATCATTATTTTTTAATCAGTTAAAAACTCACATTATACAAATATGTTAAAGATATAGAAGTAGGACTTGTGTTAATATTACTTTTCATATAATTTCTAGTAGTTTACACTTTTTAAGTAAAACACTTCTGAACGGTTTAAAGTACGAAATGTACTTAGTTAACTTTTTTTTTTATTTAATTGAATTACGGCCGGAGATCTTGTTCACGTAGAGAGTAGAGACTACGGTTGTCGCAAAGTCATCCAATTACCGGAATGTATTTAATTAAAATTTAATTATACATTAACATTAGTGGAATTTGTTTTTTTTATTAATACTTGTAATAATAATAACTCTTTATGGCACAAAAAGTAGAACACAGACACTTTAAAGTAACATATACAAATAAAAAGAATACATAATATAATACAAGAATAAATAGTATGAGTCTCCCCGTGACCACGGCTGCTGCAAAGCATCCGAAACGTCGGGCCGAAGTTAAAAATCATTTCCAAATAAGTTTAACTAATATATAGCGTTTTAAACCGTTAAAGTGTTTTATTTAAATGTGTACTACTCGCGTAAACTATAGACAGTATTGAATAGTACTGATAGTCAAATGATACTCCCTTTAATTTTTCTTTTAATAAGATTGTTTCACATGTAAAACGAAGTTCTTGTTAGATAACACAATATTGGGCCCTTAATGTCCTCTAACATATACGAAACTGATAGTTTATTTTATCTAATTTAAAACGAGAGTGAAAGTCGTGAATAGAAAGTATAAGACAATGTTTTGTATAACAAGCGGTATTTGCAACTTAGCCATTACGTCGTCAGAAAATTGATACAATTTCATACTGTTGCTAAATAATTGTCGGTTTTCCAACATTTGTCTTGTTTTCCCTTTAGGGTTTGCGTGTCTCCGTGTTCAATAATTACACAAATACATAATAATTCCATTCTATTTAAATTATATAGCGTCAGTATGGCGAATACAAGTGCTGTAAAAATGGCACATCAAGCTTTTAAATCAAGTACTTACTTAACTTTATTTCCAGGCACTCCTCATTAGTAATGACGACGTGACCCAAGAAGAACCAAGAATGCGGGAAAGCAACATCGACGCGTCAAAGTGACATTGAATTCAAGATGACGGCGTTAGTGACATTGTTGTGTGCGTTTAGTGCTTTCGTGTGTGTGAGTGGACACGTAGCTTTAACCTACCCTCCGGCGAGGAAGTACGATTTGGACTTCTTAGACAATTCTAGGACGAAACCGCCATGTGGGATGCCAAAAGGTAAAATTAATGTCGTTTGTCTCTGTTGCATTAAGCAAATAGAGATAAGAAAACCCCACTACTTATACATTGTAATGTATAACTACTTATTATTGGTAATATCCTTTCAAAATATTGTCGCTTATATATTAATCTCTATTGCCTAATATATATAATCTTAATGTTAACAATCATTTCAAAAATAAGCCTATGTAGGCGAGAGGTTGTGAACCCACCAACTAACCTTAACCTAGGTTTAGTTTGACTCATCTGAGACCTACTCACGATTCTGACACAATCGACGTTGCTATTATCTTTAATAAGTCGTAATCGTTTGTACTACAAATGGGTGGGTAGATGATTTTCAGTTTCTACTTGCAACACACAGCCTAAGCATAAAGGTTCCAATAACTTAGGGTGAAATTACTGTAAAATATTAAAACCTTTTTTCTCGAGTATTACTAATAGGAAAATAAAAAAATAATTTAGATTATTTCCATTCTGTACTAAATCGTTATTGTACTTTCGAAAAGTAGAGTTGCTTCAAGAAATTCTTCAGCAATTTAGCAGCAATTACGGCAGCAGTCGTGGCCGAGTGGTTAAGGCGTCTGACTCGAAATCAGATTCCCTCTGGGAGCGTAGGTTCGAATCCTACCGGCTGCGGATCTTTTTACTGACCTTGAGATTTTGGAATTTCAGTAGAAACATTTTTGTGTCTCCCAGCAAGAGTATAGTGATAAAGAGTTGTGTTCTTTTTATGATAAGCTTAATGTGCTGAGTGTTAAGTAGCGGTAGTTTTAACTAATCAAAATTTTTAAAGCGCTTCGGGGGTAAAACAATAATACAACCATCGACTGCATCACTATATACTTAAAATTCAACTTCAAGTAATCTATCTTCGTGATTATTAAAAAATTAATGAATAATAATTAAAATATGCACATAATTTAAATGATTTATAATATTTATAGTATAATTATTTATATCCTTATATGTGCTAAAAGGCTTACCTTGTGCTCTGTAAGCATGGCTTTGATTTAAAGCCTGTCACTTACATATAATGAGGTAAAAATATATGTACATACTAATAAAATACCTAAATAAAAATTAGTCAGTCAACTAATTTTTTTTCGTGTTCCATAAGACTTAAGACAATTAGTACGATATCTAAACATTGATTTCACTTCAACGCTAAAAGAAACCTCAAATGCGCGCGCAAGCGAGGAGCCTCTAAATGGGCTCCAAGGCGATTACGTCATGGGACCGTGTGGCCTAATGGATAAGGCGTCGGACTTCGGATCCGAAGATTGCAGGTTCGAGTCCTGTCACGGTCGTTAATTTTTTTAAATCCTTTCCGTTTTACTTAGCAGACGTGATATTCGTACTTTTGCTAAAAGGTTTTGTTCAGGTGTTTGGTTTTAAAGAAGAATTTTATATTCGGAATCATGGTTTTCGTTAAATTTATAATTTTCAAAAATAAAAAATACATCCTTTTGAAAAAATTAATATTTTTCGCATGTTATTGCACATGAAGGCACATAAATTAATTCGGCTTGAACATATAAAATCTTTAATATTTGAGAAAAACATCCCCTATAAAATAAAACTGTAAGTTTGATAAAATTGTATTATTATTTACAATATTCCTAGCGACCAGAAAATACGTGTAGGACGTTCATAATTTGGATATCAGTGTAGATTTTTTTTAAGTGTCAGATGGAATCAAAGTAGTAATATTGGCCACTAGCACGGCAATATATTACGTCATTACATTATAAAGTATAAACGTAATTTACGTAAGAACGTGGCACATTTGTTAATTACTACGCAATTAAGACGTTAGATCTAAGATGAAGTTGTAACGATGAAGTATTATTTCATGCACGCAAGCCTTTAATTGCTGCATTGGATTAATTTTAATAATTACGTAATAATTATTGATACATGGTAGAGCACCCACACAACACACACACACACACAGTATTCTCAGTGACGGAACTCAAAATATTTTCTGTGCTACGATTTTCTATATATTAAATAATCAATTTTATTTGAAAATGTTTATTGTTGCAGGATCAATAAGAACTTCATTTTTAGCTGGATCCAAATTTACAGTACATTGGCATTTAGCTTACGCACATCGGGTAAGATATAATGTTCCATTATTTGGAACATCATTTCAACAGCCCGGCTAGCTCAGTCGGTAGAGCATGAGACTCTTAATCTCAGGGTCGTGGGTTCGAGCCCCACGTTGGGCGCATATTTTTATTTTTCTATTCTTGGAAAATATTCAGACTATTACATTAATGTTTTTCGCAGCTGGTGAATCTTTATAATTTTTTTTTGTTCTTAGGGTGGATTTAGTTTAAGGATCTTGGATTACTTAGAACGACCACTTTTAGATCTTACTCCAAGAGCCGCCGGTTCTGAATTTGTCCGAAGTGATGTGACGTGAGTATTAATAGTACGTAAGTATTGTACTCATTTAGGTGTTTTAACCATATTGAAAATGGTTGTCACGTTCGCCTGCTGCTTGGTGGCCCTCTTATATTTATTGTACACTGTGATGTAAAATTATAATTTGAAGCGCCAATGTTTTTGTTGCGGAACTCTATGTAGTTTTTGAAAAAAAAGGAGAGGCAATTGCAAGGTATTCTGTTGGATAAACATTTCGATAATCCAAAATTGTTCTTTTTAACGATTTTGTTTTTATATTTATTTTGTCTGGGTCACTTGTTTTTACCTTTGAACATATATATTCCACCTCCGATCAATTAAAAAAAGCCTTTTCCGGGTATTATAACTGGCTCTGTGTATTTCTAGCCAAATTATGGGCCGGAACCCACGCTTCATTGATCTCTCAGGTACTTGCATTCTCTTAATAACGTAAAATTTTATGAGACGCCCGGAAAAGGCCTTTTTTAATAATCGGTGGTGGAATTTATAAGTTCGAATGTAAAAAAACAAGTCTCTTTAAAGTATTAATATATTGAGATATTTAGGATTTCATGTTTAAATATTAATGTTTATTAATTAAATGTTCCAGCGCACAAAAGTACGAAGTCAATTTACCAAGTGACTTCACCTGTGAGAACTGCACTCTCCAGCTGCAAAGAGAAGCCGGCGAGTGGGGCGCCAACTATCGCTTCTGGTCGTGCGCGGACATCGACATTGTACCGCGTAAGTTATGTTTAAATTTCGACAGAAAATAATACAATACATGTAAACGCATATACATGTGCGTTGGAAAAGGGACACAACATTCCCTTCACTAAAGATGATTTCTCCATAAAACTGATAATCAGGCTGTTCTATCAGTTAATGAGGCGAGACAAATCTATATTGCAGTGTTCAAAGCGGGACCGAGTTTTTAACTCATCTATTTAAAGCCCAGTAAAATATGTATCCGCTTTTCCAGGCAAACAATACCACGAAACATGTTCAGGCAAAGGTTTCCACATACTGGGCCGGTGCAAATGCAACAAGTTGCACAGTGGTGCACGGTGTCAGTTCTCCGACGAATGTGCTGAAGACACCGACTGTGGGCTGAGGGGGAAATGCGTGGATATCAACGCCACCGAGTCGCCGAGTAGGATGTGCTACTGTCCACATGGGTTCTACGGAAAGGGGTGTAATAAAAGTGAGTTATTATGTGGAACACGGTATTTACCAAAACATTACGTACATATATACGACTGGAATTATGGATCATGTGAAGGCAAGGCCTTCCCATGCACCGTGGTCTCGAAATATTTTAAAAATCTTTCATTTAAGATTGAATAAACAATGTCTACGTAAAAGTATTACACACACATGACGACACTCCTCCGCAATTAAAAAAAATAATTTCCGTAATAATTTGACATAATATTCTTTTCAGAGGCACCTTGGAAGGACAAGACCCTCAACTTGGCATCATACAGTAAAAAGGAGTTGTCTAAGAACTTCTCACTTTATTGGCGAATCATTAAGGAAATGCAAGAGGTTGAGTTTATTATGATGGTGAATGGAACGTCTTATGCTGGTCATTATTATTTTCCTTAAAACCAAAAAATAATACGATGTTAACTATTTTGTGATACGCAATTAATATTATTTCAGCAATCGGTTGGCGTCCTAAAGGATTAAAAAAGGAGTGCAAGAATTTCCCAGTGTTGGGCTCTGCACCTGAAACTCGTAAGTATTCTCGTAAGAAATGTACAGACAAGTGTTTAGAAAACGAATGCAATAACTGATATTGATAGTTTAATAAAAATTAAATTATTTCAGAATCGGAGCCGTTGCCAAAACCGGAGCCTAAAGCTGAACCGGAACCGAAATCAGAACCTGAACCAAGCCCTGAACCCAAATCCGAACCGGAACCTACTCCTGAACCGAAAAGTGAACCTGAACCGAGCCGCGAACCCAAAACTCAGCCAGAACCTACTCCCGAACCGAAATCTGAGCCCGAACCCACCCCTGAACCGAAATCTGAGCCCGAACCCACCCCTGAACCGAAATCTGAGCCTGCACCAGAACCGGAACCAACATCGGAACCAAAACCGGAACCATTCTCGAAATCAGAAGACTCTACAACAGAGTCTCAGCTTTACGAAAACGATAGAAACAAACGTGTAGCCATGCACACATTAGACGGGTTCGATTTTAAGAACCTTGGCAATGATGTTACTGTAAAGACCAGTATTTCCTACAAAATATCCAGCTCTAAAGGTAAATCAAATCATTTACACCTATGATTGTGGAATAATATTCATTAAACAAGTTGTTTTGTGGCTACAAAGGCAAGGTATACTAAATTTGCTCTAATATAATATTTATTTTTAGGGCGCAAAAAGCGAGCTGCACAAGAAGTGGAAAAGTCAAGTGAGTGTCACGAATTCCAATTCCACTACTAAACCCTTACGCACATTACTGTACATCACACGAGTGCTAAAACTCACTAGCTACGCAAAGACACGAGCACAACGACTCTATTAATGATGCAACACTAACAAATTGTGTAGAACCTAATGTATATATAAATGCATGGTTACGTTATTTTTGCAGACCTGGAAACAACAACTACAATTGTAGACCGTGAAACTGAAAATTATCCAGTTCCCCTTCCGATAAAACCCGCGACCAAAACGCAACCTCAGAATAAGCCTAAATCATTTAAACCAAAATCAATATTAGGCCCGAAACCCTTGTTAGTATCATCCCCAGAACCGATACCAAAATCACTAAACCTCACCAATCACATAGAACCAAATGCAGCTCCGGAACCACAACCCAGTATAGAACAAAACGTACCCACTCCTGAACCTAAATCTGAACCCCTAGACACGTTTAAGCCTACAAGTGAAACAGTCGAACCTAGAGAACCTAAATCATTATCACTTGAAACAAAAGTCAAACCCGAACCTGACACCCCTGAACTCGAACCGACACCAGAACCCGAATCCGAACCTGAACCATCCCCAGAACCTAAATCCGAACCTGAACCGTCCCCAGAACCTAAATCCGAACCAGAACCATCTCCAGAACCTAAATCTCAGCCAGAACCGTCTCCGGTACCTCTCCAGAACCTAAACCGTCTCCGAACCGCTGAACCATCTCCGGAACCAAATCCAATCTGAACCATAAATCCGCGTGAACAATCTCCAGAACCTAAATCCGAACCTGAACCGACATCGGAACCTAAATCCGAACCAGAACCGTCTCCGGAACCTAAATCCAAGCCGGAACCCTCACCTGAAACTAATTCGAAACCTGAACCTACTCCTGAACCTGAATCTACTCCTGAACCAAACGCCGAAGCAGATGCAGAGAATTTTTTAGTGAAAGGCCTTTATGAGGAAACAGGTAACGCACTCGCTTTGCTTACAATCAATCAGGTTACAGACATTGAAATATTGTAGACAATGTCTAAGCCTGATTGTGTGGTATCTATTTTTTTAAATATACCTATATGTATTATTAAATGAATTTTTAAATAAATATAAAGTGAAAATGCTTATTGTCAATTTAAGGTATTAGGAATGCCGGCAGTCCTGTTTGTTTAATTACTAATTGTAAAATAAAATAAAATGTTTAATTACTATTCCATTTTTTCTATAAATACTATGCTAACAGTTTAATAGCCAAACGCTGTAATATGCTGGGGTGCTTTTTTATGCTCTATCCCGTATCCTCTCTCATCTTCTATCCTTTTTCTCTTGTCTTTATCTGTCTGTCGGAAGGGTAACGTCTCCAGGTGATCGGAAAATTAATTCTGTTTCCCGCGTGTTCAACGAATCAATTTAATTGTCACCCTCTTTACTAAAACATTTTTGTAAAAAGTATATAATAGAAGTATATATTTCAACAGGTTTTACTGCGAGAAACATCATCTAATTCTTTTTAATCCATTTTGTTGAAATAAAACACTTTTTACGGTCTAAAACGCGAAATATATTAATTAAATTAAGACCCGGCGTTTCCGAATGCTTTGTAGGAAGACGTGACGAATTTAACTACACTTTGTTTTTGTCCCCAAACAAAGAGTAGTTAAATTAAAAAGTAAGTTTAATATATGTCGCGTTTTAAACCGTTAAATTGTGTACTACTATATGTACTCGCATACAAATGTGCACTAAACGACATACAATATTTAATCCATTTTATGTATTTTTTTGTGAATAAGCAATTTTAATAAAAAAAATATTTTGTGAAAATGTTGTGGAACTGCGAGAGAAACGCGGAAGTCAAAGGAGAAAGGTTAAGGAGTAATACTTACACTTTGAGTCATATTATAGGTTATTTCCCATCACACGAGTACGTACCGAAGTTCGAATTCAACCCGATGGACTGCACCGACATCGTCATCGGAACAGCTAGAGGAAACTACCATCGCGTGCTTGACTATTACACTAGAGACAGGTATTGTTTGAAAGAAGTATTTTAAACTCTACAATATAATAAAGTTAAATATTCCAAATTATTTCTATTCAAAACAATGTGCACTGCAGATCGACTCCTCGTGTGGACACGTTCTGGGGCGGACACGATGACATCACAGCGTCATCCGGCTTCGAAGAGAATGGAGTCACCACTATTATGTTTAGGAAGAAAATCAAGGTAAGGGCTCTTCAAAGGTAAGCTTCGAGTTCTCTAGCTAGCTGAGCCTTAGAGCTAAACACTGAGCTCAGTAAGGCAACGATAGAATTTCAATAAATATTTTGGTTCGGAAGGTTACGCTACAATTGTACTAAAGTGAAAATCACTTACTCAGGTTGATTGGGAGACTTTCGTTTTCCTAAAATGCAAACTGTCTTCTTACAAGTGATGGATCCTCAAGTTGTCCTCAATTTCAGGCTAAGGAACCGACCGATCATTCTCTCGTGGATGACCTGATGCACGTGATTTGGGCGCGTGGGCAGGAACAAGGCCTGTACGTCCATTCACCCCCGGCTGGCCTCGCGCAGGGAGACTTCTACAGACAGGACGAGCTCAAATACCACGGACACGGCGATCAGAGGGGCGTGGTCGCCATGAACTTCTTTGGTGAGAGAAATTGTTATTAATTTTATATTTTGCATGTTGTGTTGTATCGTCAACGTTCAAAGTCCAATATATTCAGTTGTAAACTTCAAGTATATGGACATAAAAGTTTCTTCGAAGTAAGAGCGGAGATCTTGAAATTTAAAAAAAAAATAGTATATTGTTTAATTTGAATATTTATGAAATTCTTCAGAGGAAGTAAAAAGTGCGTCGTCGGGCAGTATAACCTCGCTGGGGGACAACAAATGCGGTGCGCAGTTCAAGTTGCCAACACAGTGCGACGTGGCCAACAAGACGTGTGACTACGTGGTCTCGTGGGAGTACTTGGGTCAGAAGAGGGGCAAAGACTCCGTGAAGTTCACCATCGTGACTAAGCAGACCAAATACTGGACCGGTATCGGATTTAGTAACGACAAGAAAATGGTGAGGAATTCAAACGACCACACTCGATTGGTATAGAAAAGACATATTGACGGTATACCGAGGAGTATGACTGATGAGGTACCCGGCGTGTTCTGTCTGCGGTATTATTGTTAAAGGTATTTGGGTTCGTCGGTGTAATAGAAGCAATATAGGTATGCGTGGAGTCTGTGGATTTTCGAAAATCCAAAGCCAAAGTAGGTCGGCAGCGCAATTTGTTTTCATGTCATACGACTGGGGTAGTTCACTTACCATCGAGTGAACCCTATATGTTTTAATATATGCAAATATCTCGATTACCAGTCCCAAACCGATGCAGTGATCGGGTGGGTGGACAGCAGATCCGGAAGACCGTTCTTGATGGACGCCTGGCTGAATGGGTACTCGGCGCCTCGTCTGGACTCGCGGCAGGACATAAGTCAGGCGCGAGGCGAGTCGGCCGACGGCGTGACCACATTAAGCTTCGTTAGGAAGAGAAATACTGGAGACAGCAAGGTAAGGACGAAAACTGGACGCTCGACGACGAAAAAGAGATCAATACGCGAAAAAATATATTTAAACATCTACTACAATCAGGTATAATATACTTGGAAAATTGTTTCAGGACTTGGCCTTCACAGATACAGAGTGCCTTTACATAATGTTCGTACCGCAAGGAGGTAATTTCGACGCCGTCAACAAACGAACGAGCAAACATCTGCAAGTGCCGATCGTTTCTGATGACAGAATCTGCATCAAGCCATGTGGACCTGGTAATATACCACCAACGTTAAAATTACTACAGCATTGAAATCGATGAACAAATCTATACTAATTTATAAAGCTGGAGAGTTCGTTTGCTTGTTTGAACATGCACATCTCTGGATCTACCGGATCGAATTAATAATTAAAATTGGAGGCTATAAAACATCGCGATGTGACTAATAGGAGCGAAGAAACAGCGGGAAGCGTGGAAAAAACGGGAAAGTTATTCATGTCTCAGGGCTCCTGCGTGCGCTGCGAAAACGGTTCTAGATACATAAAAATATGTATTAAATAATGAGTCCTCTTTAAATGATCTAGAAAAGTATAGTAAGTATATTTTAAGATCTATCTAGCAAGAGCGACGGGACGCGGATGGCGTCATGGGTAACAGCCATAATTAAAAAGCACCTCATCAGCTTTTTGTTTGTATCTGTTTGCAAAAATAAATGATATGATGCCTGATTTATTATAGATCAGATTTACACTAAGACGAATCTTACTAATATTTTCAGAACCCGCAGAAGACGAAGTAACTACAGAAGCCGCGGTGCCCGGTTTGCACACCTACGCCCTATTAATCCGGATCACCGGCCTCGCGGACAGCTTCCGCCCCCCGGCACCCCCCAGTCCCGAGTACGAGGAGCTGGCTCAGCGCGTGGTGAACAGCCTCGCTGCGGAACTCGCCAAGACGAAAGGCTATAAAGATGTGAAAGTTAACGGTTTCATGCAGTGAGTACTTTGATATATATCTTAGCAGTTGTTCACGAAATGAGACATATTCCTGTCTGATTCTCACTTACCTTACGGGCCTTACTTAAAACAATTTGCCGTTCAATGCATTTTCAATTGTTTATTAGCCACATTAAGGCATATTATTGGTATAATTCCAGAAACGAAACGAAAGCAATGATAGCAGAATTGACCCTGAGGTCCATCGAATCGAACCTCATCGAGGGCAGTGCGCGGTCGCTGGACGCTTCTGCGCAGAACGAGACGGAGCAAGACGACATGGAGAAGTGGGAGAGAGCCGTGCGGGATACCCTGGCCAAGGGCCGCGTTGGAGACTTGACCTTCGATCCCGAGTTTTTTGGCATCGCGTCGGAGAGATGTGAGTTCACTTGGTTATCACGCTTTACTATTTCGTGTCTAATTTTTGAGTTATTAATTTAAAAATATTCACAAATATTGCGATTTTAGTAATAAGCGGTGGTGAGGAAGAAAAAGTATCCGAGTCTGCCTTTGGATCCGCCCTTCGCTTGTGGTTGGTCGTCGGCAGCGTCGCGGCGCTGGTCTGTCTCGCCGTCATACAAGCTGTCTGCACTCTTGCGCATACTAGCCGACAGAAAGACAGGAAGGTAACAAACCTCATCGAAAGCGAAAAGAATTAAATAATTAGTCATAATAGAAATAAAGTACTCGTGAGAGATTAAAACCGGTGTCAAAAATGTTAAATAAGTAGATGTAACGCTTCCAACATAATACATATTTTGGTGAATTGCAGGATCGTCTCATCCCGCAAACAGTATGGAAGGACTTCACATCGGCGAACACCAACTACGCCTTCGAACCCTTCGAAAACGACGACAAATACAACAGCTCTCGCCCGCCCACGAGACCCACCTCCCCGCCCCCGCCCAGACCGGATGCCCACGGGCGAAACGGTCACCCCAATGGCAAAACAAACGGCCACTCGAACGGGCGAGTCGTCAAAACGCCGACTGGAACCGCGAATAGAAAGTTCCAGAATAGTGCCGCGCAGTACTACCACGACACGCGGTCCTTGCAAAGGCCGAGAAATCAGTATGGGTAAGGTTTATGTTTTACTTAGTTTACTCATTTATATATCTTTTAATTTTCCTTCCAACCGCAAAGTCAAAGTCGAAATCATTCATTCAATTAGAATTCATGTAGGTACACTTATGAACGTCACAAAATAATTAAAGAACTTTACATTTACTACCAGTTCTCAAATCAAGGGCGTAGAACGAACGAGAAGAACTGGCAATAAACTCGCCGGCACTCCTTTTATCGCCAAGTTTAATTTTACATTCTTGATTTACTTTTAGTGCACTACATATTTTTCCTTGTAAGAGCGGGTTCCTCAACACCCCAAGAATTTTTATCATTTAAATATTGATAAACGAGATAATGCAAGTTTTCAAGCAGTTTTTGTTTTACATACGATTTAAACCTATTTATTGAGAGTGCTTGCACTTCACTGGGGATTTTATTACTACTTTTATGGAGCCTTTTGTTTGGTACACTTATTTTGTCCTTATTACGCGTATTGTACTGATGAAAGCTGCCGTTTGTTTTAAAAGTATTTACGTTTTTCCTCACATACAAAACATTTTCATAGATATATTGACTTGCCAGCGTTAGGATATTCAATGCTTTAAACTTATTTCGAACAGACTCTCGTGGGGAAAGACCACAAATCGATCGAATAGCCCGTTTCTGCAAAACAAATATGGTTTGAATATGTATCCTTTTGTGGGCATGCATTGCCCACAAAAGGATACCATAAGACATTACACTATGGAAGTAACTGAAGTAGACAAGCTTGGCTGTATTTTCATCAGTAAGCTGTCGTATCTTCTTTACAGCAAAGGATGCAGAGCTTAGTTCATTCGAAAGATTTTTAGTGCGTGGTCCGCACTGGAGTTTACAATCGAGAGTTATACCCAAAAACACAGCATTTTCGACAAAACCTATTTCCTCATCTTTTTGTTGTTACAAACTTAAGGCATTTAGTCTTCTTTTCATTTAGCAAAAGATATTTGTGTTAGATCAATGAACAACTCTGGGAATAGCACTGTTTACATTGTCCATTGATACATTTTATCGTTTAACATTAAAAGTGATGTGTCATCAGCAAACAGTACTATTCCGTGAAGCTCATTAACATAAGATGGCAAATGGCTAAGAATAAACTCACAGAATCAATTAGCATAATTTTTGAATGTGGTCTTAATTGTACCGCTCTAATTATATAAAAAGTTAAAAACGTTAGCTATTGTGCTCTTTTGAATAGCTTCTCGTCACGAGAGTCATCGAGTTGAGTGGTTAAGGCGAATTAACGACGATTACGGTAAAATATTTCGCAATTCTGTGTATAGGACCGTGTGGCCTAATGGATAAGGCGTCGGACTTCGGATCCGAAGATTGCAGGTTCGAGTCCTGTCACGGTCGACTTTCCCCTTTTATAGTTTTTTTTTATTAAAATGCACATAATTCTGCTATTCTATTTATGTTATTTTTTGTACTATTGTCGTTAAGTTTTATTATTGAATTTTTTTTTTCTTAAGTAAATTGTATTTTATATTTCAAAGATTTTGTGCTAGGTAAACAGCGTAGTTAAGAAAATTATTGAAAAAAAATGGAACTGTATATCACCGGTAGAACGTAACATGTGCAGCAGGTTCGATCACCGTCTGTACTTCGGACATACAGAGGTCTGTATTGTTTGTACCCAGGTACGCGCCCCGACCAGATCGCAACAGCTACTCGCTGCCGCGTGGGCCGCAGTCTCCCCACTCTGTCCACAGCGCGCATTCAGCTCACAGCGCAAGGTCCCGGGCCGAGCCAGCTCAGCCCGACTTCTACTTTATGCCCTCGCAGCGGAAGCACGAAGGTGAGGTGGTACGGGTATACGTCTCCCCGAGGGATTAACTAGTGGATCCAAACGTTATCTAGGATATAGTAACCAAAAAATAATTTGACCAACGAATCGTTGCTGCCGGTATTTTCTACAGTGAATTATGAATTATAACCCTTAAACTAGAAAAAAATATTGTCACATCCTTCACTGTTATATGTTTTATGTATGTTAGAATGGCCATTTAAGGTCCCTAGCAGACAAAAGCACTATTTTTTATTAATTAATTCTGCAATCGATTGTAATTATAATCATTTAAAAGAGAGAATTTGTTTAATAAATTCCCTCAGTGATGCGACGAGTCGTAGGTCTGATTATTTCAGACAACAGACGGGACAACTTTGCAACCCTCCTAATGCCACAGGAAAAGGTAAACATGCTGACATAATTTCAATTAAAATATACCATCGAAGATAATACTATATACTATATCATAAGGTGTGATTTAATTGAAATGATGTACGTGCACGATAAGCCTTGGTCATTTAGAAAATAATAGATTTTTATTACTTAATTATTACAACGCGAAAAATTCTCAGTAATAGATAATTGTGAAGTAGTGTAGCTTATAAAATTGTACAAATTATATAGAATGCTGAGGTCTGTAGCTTTAAAAATAATTAAAATAAGGTCTTATAATGGATTATAAAACTTGATCTATTAACAGCACGTTTATTAACCAGTGGTTAAGGGTTTGTGTTTTTCTTTGAATATTTTGCGTAATTCTAGGCCGCAAAATAACGTATATATTGAAACTAATAATATTTATCTTCGACATAAGGTACCCATGATATCATTGGTTAAGTTGAGACCTAACATAAAATAGACATATTAGTAAAACTTCTCAAAAAATCATTCCTCCACACTTGTGAATAACGGTGACGGCTGTCTAAAAATCATGTTTTCTTTTCCAGAGTTCTGATGGCGCGGCAAATTAACATAAGTTACCATAACATACTATTTCTCGTGATTCTTCCGCACACTTCATACAAAACAGTTCTAGTCTTGTGTCACAGTTTTAAATTAAGTTCAATCGGCTGGTGTTCTCGGTTAGTTGTGATGATTGATAAAATAATTTTGCATTTACACAATATTATATTTTTTTACTATTCATTATTTTTGTATATTGCTTATATACTGTTCAATAGATGGCAATTATTCAGCAATAGATGACGCTTCAATTTTACTTAACGTTACAAAATAATGTTCAATGGATGTCGCTGCACTAAAAATTCATTTATTTAATCATAGATGGCGTTTTTCTCAAAAGTGTGCTTATCATAATAAAATAATGTTCAATAGATGGCGCTGCACTAAGAAGCTCAATTATTCAAAAACCTCAGATGAAGACGCCATCTAGCGTTTTCAACAAATTATACGTTTTATCAATCATCAGCTTAGAGAAAACCAGCTCAGCTTTCAGGTTCGCATTCGATCGACTGCGCAGATGGCACTTTGCTATATTTGAATGTGTTACCTGTTGTAAATACCGCTAAAAATATTATTAGGCAAATATGTAAATCTATTCGTGCAACTGAGGTTATTACGGGCAATTTTCCATTTAAAAGTTCTTTTTGTTTTCATTACTGGCTTTCAAAATATAATAATTAAAATGCCCATCATAACTTTAGATTTAACAATTTCTTCTTTGGTAGCACAATACGAAACTAGCTCCATCTATTCAATGTGGTGCTAATTTGGTTGGAGGATGAATGCTCATTTAGTTTTAAGTTTAATTTAAGCATATGATTATTACTTTGTATTAAAATAACGTTAAGAATACCGAATATAATTAAGGTAGATTTTGATACTGTAAAATTAAATTGGGAATCCCTATATATGGCGTTAAGTATGAACTAAATGGTGATAATATATTTATATAGTACTTGGCATGAAAACGCAGAATTCCTCCGTATAGTTCAGAGATGATTTATATTTCTTTTTTATGGGAATAGTAAAGGATTGATCGGTTGCCAGTATAAAAGTAATAATTTATAGTCATAATATATAAACCTCGACCAAAACACTTGGCCAATACAAGGTATACATGTGGAATTATATTTAAGGAGAAATAATGTATATTTTGTAACACCCACTAATGTAAAATAAGATAATTTATAAATTACTCCATAGTTTAACGACAGAGTATTAATAACGAATACCAAACCTAAGATTTATAATAATAATGTAATTCTTTTAGAACAATGTTGAATTTTTTATTTCATTTTTGTGAACATATCAAGTAGTAAATAGCATTTATAAAAATTTCTATCACAGTATACCTAGAATATAAATATTACACGAGCCCATATAATCACAGTCCTGGCCACCATTATGATCTAATCCCTACACCTTACACTCATATTAATGGAATGTATATACAAATTGTTATCTTTATTTATAAATTAGATCTCGCCCCCATGACCTGCTTGCTTTTGTAACGCCAAGTGTCCTGAAAGAAATAAGATTTTTAATTAAACAAACATTCCATGCTTAAAATTTAAACATGCACCCAGTTTCGCGGTTCTCACAGCATTAGCTACGTATTAAGTATTATCGCAACTGGATGGCAGTTAACAGTAAGCAGTTAAAAGAAATAAACACAGTTTACAATATTGAAATAGAAAAAAATATTGGTCCTGAATTAACATGATGTAGGAAACAATCTGGAACATATAGATCAAATAGTTTTACCACGAAGGAGACGTTGAACCCTCGCCTCTTGGCCTCGGCCTCGATGTCTTTGGCGGCCAACTCCTGCACAGTCCCACCGACGTCCACGTAGTGGCAACTCCCGCTGGCGTAGTGCGCAGTTATCGCCTTGCGGTAGCGCTGTGGGAGATTTACGATTGTACTATAGCCTCTGCGCCGTAGAGTTAATAGACCAAGGACACAAAATCGCGGCACTTTAACTGACAGTGGCGAGTTAGGAAATAAGTGCATTTCTAATGTATTTTACTGGTTTCGTTAAAATCGGTAAGATATACGCGAAGAAATACTGTATCGTCACTATTATAATCAAAAACTAATCACAGAGAGTTCGGTAGTTTATGAGAATGTCAACGGGACGGGTAAGTTGGTCCAACAGAAGCTCACAGTAGCCACATTGGGTCCTGAGCCGTGAACCAGCAGCGGATGGAAGAAGACCGTGTCTCCCGGCGACATCGCGAGCTGAACCCATTTGCCGGTGTCGTACACGCTCTCATCTAAGATGCCGTGGTACAGCTTGTTTGTGTTCTGTCAAAAAATACGTTATTGATATGAGGAGCTCAACGACTTAAGGTCCCAGCACACATATGGGATCGGAAAGGGATCGTAACCGTAACGCCTCGAGCCGTTCAGAATGGTTTGTATTAAACTCCCTACTGCCAACGCACACTAATCGGAATCGTAACGTAATCGCCTCGCCTCGGAACAGGCTCCGAACTTGCAATTCCCGCGCTTACGGCTCATCGTCCCCGCGCTTACGGCTCATCGTCCCCGCGCTTACGTCTCTCCGTCCCCGCGCTTGCGTCCTCCTTGCTTTATTCATATTGTGTACCCAATATCTTTCGGGCGACGAGGCGTAAGCGCGGTGTCGCCTAGCCGTAGCCGAGTTGACGTACAGGCGCTGCTGATACGCTTTCGTTACGTGCGTACGGTAGGTTGACGCCTGGTTGACAGCGAGGGGAAAGGCGTTACGGTTACGATCCCTTTCCGATCCCATATGTGTGCTGAGACCCTAAACGTGACTATAGTACTAGACGATGAATACCGGAGCATGTCCGTGCGGGTAGAGATGATTGAGCTTGTGCGACCTCGGGATGACAAAGAGGCAACCGTTTTCTTCTGTGACGTCATCGATCGCCGTCCATGACGCTATTATCTTCTCGGCCGGACGGAACGGGAAGTAGAACAGGTCCTGGAGAGAAATACGATTATAAAGTAATAGTATTAAGTAATTTAAAAGTTATACGACTCGTTCCAAAGATGGCGCAGAAGCTCGATTTATGTAAGTAGTAAATAATAGCCCCATTGTATCACCTGATGTGGTGGATGCTGAGTAGTTCCGGGCGGTTTGTTGATGAACATGCTGTTCATTACTCGGATGTTGTCACCGATGAACTGGGACAGGACCGACAATAATTTCGGGTGTTCCGTGTAAGACATAAAAACATCGTCGAAGTGAATTTCTTGGATCTGAAATTTACCAAGATAGAAAGAATTACTTAATGAAAAAAGGATATATGCTTTAAGCGGCCGACACCAGAGCGTATATCCATTAAAATCAAGTTTTTGTTTATATTTAAATTCCTCTGAAGTACTGGTAATCGGAGGTTATTCCACTTTTGGAAATTAAACTCAATTTCTAAAATCTTGGATTTATAGATATAAAAATGACATAATTTAAACAAATTTTTCTGCATACGAATGATACGTTTTCAAAGGTTTGGGGAAGGAAACGCAAATGTTTTGCTGACGATTGTTCCTTTATTTAAGTGACGCACAACTTTTTTTTAATAAACGAGTTTCTGCGTAACCTTTGCTCCCTACAAGTTACAGCAAGATGTAAGTTATTATTATGTACGATGTTCTTCAATACACCAAGTCAATATTGCTTTTTTTAACTTTTATAAAACTATATATTAGAATAGTACTAAGTATACTAAGATTGTGATACATTATAGACTGTCAACCTCATTTTCGGCGAGATTAGTATTTTTTATGGAGTACTACGGATAATCTATTCAATTCCACTTAAACTTGAACTTGAGTATGAAAGATATTCGTAAATTAAAAAATAATGGCTTGTTAGTGTAATTTAGGTAAAGTATTCATCCATTAATTGCCAACCCTAGCCCTCGTTTCACTGTTGTTCATTTATTATGCGTCATCACACAGAGACAGTTGTATACTGTGTCTACTATGGCAATACAAGTTTAGCAAAAAGAATAGTTAGTTTTCTGCATTTAAATGGAGTCAAAAGCCAATGCCATCGTTGACGTAACAATTTTCATTGCGTGAAACTATAAATAGTCAATATTTTATCCTATTAGTAGATGTTCCCAGAATTTCTGGGGAATACCATCCCAAAAGTATAAATCGATTTACAAAGAGTGCGGATTCACTGTTACACAAAAAAGCGATGGAAAAGCAATACCTTATTAATAGCTTCTTCCCCCTTTAACCCCTTCTTGAGCAGTACAGCCTCCCTGACAATTGTAGAATTACCTTTATCTACCAATCCCTTAGCAACTTGAATAAAGCGCTGCCTGAAAAAAAAAAATCATACGTTTTTTTGTTATACAATACAAAGCTAACCCAAATAATGAAGTAGGTATTTCATTTTTGATATGAGCATATTTTAGGTATTGCAATACCAAACAATTTAAATTTAAAAAATTATAATTTTTTTTCAAGTAAACAATTATCTTTAACATTAAAATGTATTGTATCACATGTTATCATGATTACTTTTGTACTAGTTGTCCAAAAACAATCAATTTATTTGCAAAAAAATCTATCAACAATTTCTTGTTAAAATTTTAATAGCACTATTTTGAATGCTAGAACCAAAGATTTAGTGTATTCAACCTTTTTTAGGTTAAAATGAATGTACAAAGGGCACATTCATTTGGGTGTATTCCAGGAAAGGAATTTGTAAATTACATAATGTCCAGAGATTATCAAATAGTGTTAGTTATAAAGAATATAATATAAAATTTACAAATATGTTTTGACCACGAGTATAGACCCGTCGCCGTTACAAGCTTGATATTATTCAAGCCACAAGAATACAACCTACTTCCAAATATATTTCAATATTGAACAAAACATTACAAAGTAACAATATAAATAATTATTTTGCTAATTTATTAAACATAATTATTGCTAATATATTCAGTGCCTCTGATACATAAATTGCAAGATACTGAAGTAAATGTTAACCATGTAACTTTTTCTTTTATTGTTTTAATTAAATTAAAGATACTGTCTATAGAATATAAATTAAAGATGTAAATTTGCCTAAACTTCTATGGAACTTACTTGAGGCTGTATAACTCTTCAAAATCAAATAATCGTTTGATAACGAGATACCCATTGGCTTCAAAAAACTGTTTTTGCTCTAAGGATAATACACATTTTTCTTTCTCCGTATCAATCCTGAAACAATGACATATAATTATAATCAGTTACAGTATTAATTTATACACATATTGAAAACTTCAGAAAACTAATTAAAAGTTTTCACTTTGAAATCTACAGATATCAAATATTTACAAACAAAGGAATGTGCAGAAGAGTGGTAAGGCGAAGTAATACTGTGGCTGGGGGGTAAAATTTTTTTTTTTTTTTCCCCAAGGGGGGGCGGGGGCTATTAGGCATCAGATTAATAATTAGTACTAAGGAGTTGATATCATTTATAGCCGCAACTACTAACATGATATGAATATTGGCTTTTTTTCACGTTTGCACGTTGTTAAATAATTTTTGTAATATATAATGCAATATTTTTTGCATAGCATGGGTTTCATATTTGGTAGGCATACTTAGAGTGACTGCTAACATGACAGGAGAATATTGTCTCAGAAATTATTCCTAATGCTGTAAAACTGAATGATTTTGACGCATTTTTGCCAGAAATGTCAATGTGACCAAAAAGTAACTTAGAACATGATTAAGGCGAAATGCATACAGTACTAAGGTCAAACCATTTTGTTTCCTAGTAAGGGTTATAACTGAAAATTTTGTGTGCAGGGTAAAGATCAAGCTTATTTAGCCAACTCCTGCGAAATGTTCAATTGATAGTGAGACCCAATTAGATCTATAATTATTGAGAATTACAGGTTGATATCATTTCCAATTAGAACAAGAACCATTATGGAACATTCCATATTCCAGCCTAATTAGCTTCTCAATTGAATGTAATGACCTATTATTCTATCAAAGGTCCTGTTGTCTGTATAGAGAACATCTACCTGCTTGCAATCATTCATAAATGAAGTAAAAAGTTCATGAAAATGACCATCTTAGTTGTAGTAGAGCAAAAAAAACCCCTAAAAAACATGCTGGAAAGAATCCAACAAATTAGGAATCAATTATCAAGCTGGTTGTACACAATTCCTTCAAATACTCTATTTATAGTACTTAAGAAGTTTATAGATTGCCCTGTAACAGTAATGAAAGCTTAATTATAAATTTTTGGGACCATCCCAATAGATTAAAAAAAATATTAATAAAAAAGTTAGAAGATCGATTAAAGAACATTGAGATAGAGCAAGGCGATTAATAATGCACATTTAACCAGGAGTTGTGGTGATATTGTCCTATACACACATCCAATCTCATAAGCGCATTGTTACAATGTCAAATTTTTCTGTCTGTAGCTCTTAAGATATTTCTGTACCTGTTACAATTATTGTTTCTACACTAAGTACTTGGCCTTTTGCTCTCTAACACAAACAAACTATCATGATAAGAGAACCATACATCAAACTACAGCCATAGCAATTGATAAAAAAATAGACTAATTGAATAGGGAAAGATTTCAAACTCCAGTTGTGCCACAAATCCAGTTTGTAGTGTGCAGTTGTTTTTTTATATGTAGGTACATACTTGATAGAAACAAATCAAATTCTTTTTGTATAAGTTACATATGTTTAAATTTACCTACCTATTTAGCAAAGCCTTAACTTTGGGAGTGGATTCCATGATGTAATTATGACCTAACAGGTTGAAGAATAAAAACCGAATGCTACAAAAACATGTATGCGAGTCGATAACACATAAACGTGATCCACGATAAAAAAAATACACGAATTCATAAAAACGGTGATAAAGCACTAATGACCCCTTTAATCGACCACTTTCTTTTTTGAAAACATTTTTTAATATAATTATTTTTAATTGCTTTTCGTTTGTTTGTTAATGTTAAGTATTGTTCACTGTATTGTAATATTTTGTTCGTTTTCATGACGCAGATTGTAGATGGTTGTAGTTAACAAAACAATTTGATTTTTTAATTTATTGCAACAGCTTGACAACGAGGCTGTCGGACTCTGACCAATACGAATGGTCATAATTATAGAGTTGCCAGACAAAGTGCCAAGAAGTAAACAAAAATATCATTTTATTATAAAAAATAACTGGTAAAAAATTTTGTAGCATAAAAGTATTTTAATCCTACTTCATAATATGGCATTAATGCTAAGACCGATTTTGGTAACTTTTTGTGAAACACTATTTTATATATTCTGTTTAAAATGTCATACATTAAATATGTATAACATTTTATAGTCTATATACATATTTATCCAGGATAAAGTCATTAATTGTTCATTTTAAAGTTGAGTTTACGCAAGTATTACACATTTAAATAAAACACTAAAGGTTTAAAGCGCGATATATTTTAGTTAAACTTGCTTAAAAATTATTATTTTTAACTACGGCCCGACGTTTTGGATGCAAATTTCCAATAAACAGCATTAACCGGCAAAACCGAAAACATCGTGAGTATTCTGCAAGGACCCGGCCAGTTCCAACTACCAACCAAAGTCGCCAAATACCAACTTCGACGGAACAGATGGCGCTAGCGTACATTAGCGCCACCTGTTACAAACAAGTTTAACTTAAATATACTTATCGCGTTTTAAACCGTCAGTGTTTTATTTAAATGTGTAATACTAATGCACACAGACAGTATTTAGTATCTACACCTACTCTTAGCAATGAAATCTTAAATGTGCATCTTACTGAATAAAGAAACAATTTAAAACCAAAAGGAAGAATGTCATATGTAGTATTTACCATTTAATTTAAGCAAAAACACTCAGCGATTTTTAATACACACTCGGCTTAGAATAAGCGCCGACAAACAAAGGTATTTCGAGTTGTTTGTCGATAATCATATAAATAAAAGGTTTGTTGGCTGTGAACTTATACGGTAGGCTTCTCGACGCGAAGGAGGCTTCTGACGCAGCGCTGGCGGTAGTTCCCTCTTCGTTTACCTCGATATAGGCCTTCTGGATGAAGTCGGACACGAACAATTCGTACGAAGAGATCTTGGAAAACCTCGCCTGCGAACTATCGAACATCGTCCTTAGACCCATGTCCATCAGCAGTTCCCTGAGATTATTCAAATTCGAGCTCATATTGAACTTCGGTATCTGAACTTGTACCGTCACCTTTTCCGAACCGAACAATTTGTATATGGTAGTCAGGGTAATATCTTTCAGCTTTTCTATAACTGTGTATAGCGGTACGTTGTCGTAAGGTAACATGAACAGGGCGACGTATCTACCGTCGGTGCCATAGGGTAGTTCCACTACTCTAGCACTAATCAAGTCGACTTCCCTGTAATTGAAAGAACCCATAGAAAACATGAGGTTGACGTCGCCAGTTTGCACCCCGGCTTCGTTATAAAAAGCGCTAACCTCGGTTTCTTCTCTAGCAAAAGGCGTTTGCCAGGTACCTTTGAAGAATATCGCGTCGATCATGACTAAGACAATACCATCTAAATCGGCGGGCGTGACCATCTCCTCTATTGTCTGGTGCGTGGCTTGGTTCACGTAGTCGTTAACGACCTGCGCTGCTAAATCTGCATTGTCGAAGGAAATCACTTGAAAATCCGTCACGCCTTTGCGTTGCAGCGTGTTTCTGAATGAGTTTTTGATGGGTAGATTTTTGTCGGAGAATATGATCGAGCTTCTTTCCACGACTACATCAGGGTCAGCGTCGGAGTTAATCGTCTTCACGATCTCCAGGAACTTATTGTTAAAACACGAGTGCCCGTGAAGCTGAAGGACGTCCCTCAGCTCGGCCAGGGTGGTGTCCGTCGCGCCCAGTGACATGCAGGACAACAGAGCCCACGGCGAGAGGGTCGACGCCACGAAATGGTTTTCTTTCTCCTCGGCGATCCTCGTCATAAGATCGACTGTGAAGTCGAACACCGCCCTGCTGAATTGCGGTGTAGCGGTCTCTATGGTACATTGGCATAGTATAGAAGGAATAAATCCAAAAATAAGCAAAACTTTCAATTCCATATCGTGCGTATGTTCCCAAAACTCCCCAGAGACTGGTACTGAGAGGAACGATACGTGTTATCGAGGTGACCCCGGCTCGATAAGCCCGAATTACTAGGCAAAAAGGTGAAATTATACAACATTTTGCAGGACATAATTACTGACAATTTTAACTTGTATTAGGCATTATGATAGAACAACTGAAGATATTACAATTGCCCGCTAAGTATTGCTGCGACTGTGTAATTTTAACGGACAATATAGCTTCTACATTTTTATTGCTGTCGGTAAGGATTTCTTACAGGAGTTATGTTACGTGTCGTCGAAGGACATACATTATAGATCAGAGACGCGGAGACATGATTAAGACCCGTCTTCCGCACCTAACGATGGCATAATTCGACACTATTGTTTTGGTGAACTTTGTCCAATGGGTTTTAACCACTGATAGTATTATATAATAACATCGATATATTTATAAACAGTCGAATTTATGTTTTCGTAAAACGCATTTAAGCTTCAATTCAATCTTTCCTTAGAATTATTTTCGCTCCCGAAGCGAACAACAATCATTGACCCTAGTTTATCAGAACTATATTGTTTATGAAGTGTTATTATAAATTTGCAGCAAAATAATCAATTTAGTCGCTTGTACGCTTCCCACTTATCTAGTATGTTATAGCTTATTCAACGTAGTTTGTTTGTTTATTGATTGTGAAGATAGTGTTTCCAAACATGAAAATACAGCTTTTTTATATGATATCTTTCTGTTCAATAGTATTCGGAAAACATTTTTATTGCAATAAGGATTCAGCGATAGCGTCCTTCAAACGACCGACTTACGACTTCTCAGTTCGTATATTAGATCGCGTCTCACAACAGACCGACGGTCATTTTGTATTCTCTCCCATTTCCACGTGGCTGCAACTGATCACGCTGGCCGAAGGCGCCATAGGCCCGACGGCCGAAGAAATCTGGAATGTGACCCGGTACCACAGAGTGCGTTGCTTTCGTCGCAAATTCAGAGAAGTCCTCAACATAATGAACGAAGATTTCAGTCCCATGACGAAGAGAAGTAGCACTTTCGTAATCAATAAATTAGTGGATGTCAAGAAAACGTTCGCGGACGAAGCGATGAAAAGTAGAGATACTACAATTGTATCAGTAGATTTCGACGATCCAGTAGCAGCCGCTGAAAAAGTGAATGAGATTATCAACAGAAACACGGATGGGGTTATCGATGAGGGATTCTATGAAGATGATTTTGACCTGACGATCCTGCTCATGACCGACACGGCGTACTTCAGAGGGGATTGGCAGTCTCCATTCAATCCAGCGTACACATCGAACGAGCCCTTTCACTCAGAGACCAATCAGAGGATAGGGGAGGTGAGGCTGATGTCGCAAATCGGTTACTTTAACGTCACGGATGTCCCGACCATTAACGCGACAGTTTTGGAACTTCCGTTCGGGCCCGACGGACGAATGTCAATGCTGGTGGTCCTCCCGAAGCGAGGTTCCGTTGAAGATCTGTACTTCAACTTGCATGACATAAGACTGATGACTATTTATAGTCTGTTTCGGCTCAACGGACCAAAACTGGTGTCCGTAAGGTTACCTAGATTTAAAGTGAGGACGGAATTGGAAAATATACCGGAATTGGTGTACGATATGGGCGTCAAGAGGATTTTTTATCCGCACTTGGCCGATCTGAGTGGGATAAGCGAGCATTTGACGCATGCGTCCTTAATGACTCAAATAGCCGATATAGAAATAACAGAAAGGGGCGCGAATGCCACTGCGGCCCCGGAGTTCTTGATATCCGACTCTGCCGCTAACGAAGAATTCGTAGCGAACAGGCCATTCGCCCATTTAATAGTAGATAAGAAGACCGATATCATTCTATTCGCTGGCATTTATAGTAATCCGTCTATATATTAAACTTAAACATATGTAACATAATATATGCTTTTTATTTAAAATCCTTTATCAACGATACACTATGGTATTTACGACTAGTATCACAATAGCAGCCTCTTAATATATTATAGTAATATTCAACAAAATAAGTAATAAATGTGTATTCCTAGGAATTTATCCCAAATATAACCGGTACATAATCTGCTAATTTCTCATACAATTATTTGACAATTGAGCTACATTAATTGTGATAATAACTAGAATCAGGTATTGACTGTAATTTATGCGAGTAGTGCATTTTAAATAAAATACTTTCAACGGTTTAAAATGAAAAATCTATTTGTAACATATTTTGAATGCTTTGCAAAAGTTGAGTCAATGCAGAATGTCCCTAATTTAAAAGTCTCATCATCAGTTAATATATTTTGCGTTTTAAATCGTTAAAGTTATTTATTTAAATTTTAGCATCACTAACCTTGGAGTCATTTTATTACAACATTTTCTTATCACATACTAGTCACAGCTAACATTTTGTAAAAAAATATATTGACACACTCGAGATAATTATGTAGATTTACTTAAATACCTACCTAGAAATTCATTATTCGTCTTTTCGGTGGCTAATAATTTCGAATTCGTCAATTCAAGTAATACTCGCCTATATATGTGTGATTTGTATAAAATAATCATAAGTAATGTATATTGTTTGTTTATAATGCTACCGGTAGATTGTAAATACTGTAAGATTGTAAACAATCTAGCGAGTTCATCAATTGTTAACAATATCCCACAGTTTATAATCTCGCTAGACAACTTACAATGTAACGGTAACACGTGCTATGTCTTCTATAAATAAACGAGAAGATAAAATTCGGCTCCTAATCTAGCGTTATATTGAGCGCGAGTTGGCGCACGCCATCACTTATAATAAATCCTTCGACGATTCAACGTTTTATTGGAACGCGAACATCATTATGAGAACAGGCACAGCGATCACACAGACTAAGTAGACCGAAGTCCGAGGTTCACATTCCGATATGATCACGAATTGTTCGTTCCACAGTGAGTCGTTGTTGCGCAAGGGCAGCTCTAGAACCACCTGCGAGACATAAAATAAATTTTAAACTGTTGAGAATGTTTTATTTAAATTTCGCGTCCGGTACATATTTTAATAAAACATTTTCAACAGTATAAAAGTTTTTCAACGGTTAACTTTAAAAGTGTTTAATTTAAATATGTGTTTGTATCGTAGCCGTTACCCAGCAAATGACTGTTGTATATGTTTTTAAGAAATCAAAAGAAATGACCTTTTGAGAGGAGAATATGTCAAGCGGCAGATCGCATCGGTCGGTTTTATTCCTGCATTCCCGAAGAGCTGTCCTCGCCACGTCGTATTTGGTCTTCTGCAGGTCGAACCGGGCCTTTATGAAGTTCTTCTGCACTTCGTTCTCCGAGTTGAATATGAAGAAGTAATAGCCGTTGGCTGGGACCCTGAAGTATTCAATAAACATTGATTCGGCTATTTTTTAGTTATATTAAATTAATACATACGGAAATAAATACTAATATATAAAGCTGAACAGTTTGTTTTGTTTGTTTCAACGCGCTAATCTCAAGAATCTACGGGTTCGGATTGAATAATTATTTTTGTGTTGGTTAGAACATTTATCGAGGAAGGCTAAAACACATTGCGCTGCGACTAATAGGAGCGAAGATACAGCGGGAAATGTGAACAAAACGGAGGAAATTTTTCATCTCTGTGGGTTTCAGATACGTGCGCTCCGAAAACTGTTCAAGATACTTAAAACATGACTATGAAAGAATGATATCCCTTTAAATGATGAAAAGAAAAGTCCACGACGCTATATGTCTATCTTTTAAGGTTAACTTGCAAGAACGACGGGAAAGGACGCGACCGCCGTCATGGCTAACAGCGTTTATAAAGAATACGGGGTTGCAAAAACTAATTTGCTGATTTCGCGAGAAGTCGCTGGCACAGCTAGTACAGAAATAAAGTAAAAAATGGAAAAGCTCAGCAAATGAAGTATGGTAAATACAAATACGCTGAAAAGTTAGATAAATTCACGGGGAGACCCCCGCCCCCCGAAAATCCGAAAGTCGGGCGAAGTTAAAAATCATTTTCAAAAAAATGTTAAACTAATATATCGCGTTTTAAACCGTTAAAGTGTTTTATTTAAATGTGTACTACTCGCGTAAACTATAGACAGTACAAATTAGATAAAGCAAAACATAATTATTTCTATAGGTGCTATTCATAACATCATTAATTCTAAAATTTATATGAGGATAGAAACATCCCCCCTTACTTAAACGATTGTTTATGTTTCACAGTCATCTCTAGTCACACATTTCGTAAAAAACCCTCTATACCAATTTGAAAAATTTTTGTTATCCAACCTATAAGTCAAGGCATTAGCTCTAGCTGCGGTCATGGTGTCCCCATCCATGGCACCCTCGTGGCAGGAGTGATGAGGCGTGAGCGGAAGGTTTAATATCAGACCCTCGCACTCCAGCAGAGCCTCCTCGCTGCTGGAGAACGAAGACCAGAACTCCGAGTTGGACATATCAAACGGTGTCGTCTCGTTCACTTGTTGGTGATGCTCTGCATAGCCGTCGGGTGAAAGACCCTAGAAAGGGAAATACATTGATTTTATAAGAGTTGCAATAAGTAGTAGTCTTGTTTAGGTTTATTAATATTTTTACAACTAAAATATGACTGCTGCAGTATAAATTTAGCGTACGATTTCTGTTTATTTCTACCTACATTACTATGTACATCTTATTGTTGTTATATGACATTAGCACGTTTCTGTTCAAAGGTAGTAATTTTAGTAAGTAATAACACTCGTACCTCTTCAGCCGCGTAATCTCTAGCTTCGTCGTCTTCGTTGAGCTCCTTGATCAATTCAATTTGACCCAGCATAAGTTCCCGTTTTGCTCTTGCGTCTTCTCTTGCATCGCGGCGTTTTTCTGTAATTATAGTTATGAGACTTCAGTCTTGCCATACGAGCTCCGTCTGACTGAGGAACAATAGAAAGTTTTATCTTAATGCAACTCACGCTGTCTTTGAGATCTCGTCTTCTCTTCATCTATGGCTTCTACCAGCACTTTCCTGAGACGATCCAGCTCCTCATCGCTGCCCTTTATTGCTGCCACCACGTTTGTCACGTCTGGAGGCTTCTAAAATTTTCAACTATTAATACCATGTTTGGGTCGCAAATGCATTTTAAACACATTAATTTGTTAACTATTATTTTTTTTCCATTACAATATAACATAGTCTCTCAGATTAAAAAACCAGTATGAAGGAGGAGTAAAATATAAAGGCTTTTGACGCATATACCTTCTCACTGTATTCGACTCCCATCGTCTCGTGCAGTCTAACAAGGACACGTTTGCCCCGGTCGCCCAGCGCTTGGAGCCGATTCAATACTTGAAGAAACACTTCCTTGGAATTCTCGTCTCCTTCAGCAGCCTGATAACAATCAATCATTATTGATATTTCGATAAGGCATAGCAACTAGACGTCTATATTAAAACATCACTATCGAAATTTACAAACCCGCCATAAAAACTGTCGTTTCATTTCATTTTACGCATTTGGACTTTAAATAATAAACTATAATTAAGATTATGTCAACTTTACAATCGAACAATAAATATTTGTAAGGCAAACAACTTAGTTTTTTTTCTCGAACAAGTTTGTGCTAAATATTTACTTACGCTGGATTCCTTTGTCTTCTCATTAGTGTTATCTGTATAACTGTCGTTTATAATATTTGTTCTTTCATCTTTAATTATATTATTATTTGTCTCACTAAAATTCGTCCTCGCCATGTCTTCGCTTATTTGAGATATATTATCTTTATTATTATAATCTGTGCTATTGAGATTGTAGCGAATGTGAGAATTATTTAATGTTTTATTGCTCTCGAATGATTTAGCCATTTCCGTTGCTGCCTCGCTGGCGTTTCCGTCGATGTCTGTAAGTGAGTAAACTCTGAATTATTATAATATTGTATTTAGGTGAATTACATAAATTAAACAATGCTATAACTTTATCATATAGTCAGCGTTATCGTAGGCTTTACAGTAAATAAGCTCACAATAATGATAATAATTGACAATACCGACTTGTTCATCGCTATCTGTTCATTTATTTATATAATGATACTATTGTGTGCAAGAATTGAAGCGGTTTCCGTTTCTCTTTATACGCCAAAAAATTTTATACGTCAATTGTTATTTAAATTAGATTAGAATTGTTCAAATTATGTAGGTTGGTTTGCCTGAAGAAGTTATTTAATTATTTTAATTAAATAATTTAATTATTAATATTGATATTATGTTATACTGCGATTGATACCATTCGATCGGAGAAAAAATATGGAATCATTTCGCGTAATAGGTTTTGTAGGTATTTTATAAAAGAGGAGGGGCCTGGGGGTTCCCTTTATAGATGTTAAGGTGTAAAAAGATAACGTCTAAACAAGTGCGTTGTCGACCTATTTTAGCGTTGAGCATTCGGAAGTGCTCAGACTGAAATCGAAACGTGGTATTATCGCGTTTATTCAACGGCGGCTCTGATAACACTAAAAAAGCATGGCAACGGATTAACAATCCTGACCTTTGAATGACAGCCACTGCCTCTCGTCCTTATCTACGTTGGTGTCTCTGTGCCTATGAAGACCTGGAAGAGACATCAGATGCGACGGCGGGTGATAATACTTCAGAGCCTCCGTCTTGGCTGCTTGCCGCAACGCGTGTAGATGTTCTAGTATTGCTCTTAACTCCTGAAATTTGTATAATAGCAGTTGAATATTACATAACTAAGAAATTCTACATTCGTTGAAGAAAGAATCGTTTTTAAAAGTAATTTCTTGTTTTAAGACTAAACATATTAATATTATAATTTAAAAAACGAAAATTAATTGAAAAATTTTTCGAATCGGACAGGACTTGAACCGGCATCGTCAGCTTTTCGTGCTGTTGCTCTACCAATTGAGCTAGCGTGTCCTACACCTCATCGTCGAATTTTTTCAACTTATTAATACATGCACCTCTCGCGCATAGGCACATGAAGGCATATAGTGCCTTCGTGTGCAATAACATGTATAAAATAATGAAGTTTTCGTATTAATATTATACTAGCGACCCGCTCCGGCTTCGGTCGGGTGGAATGCTGATACTAAATACAGTACAGAAAACTGTAAACGTTCCTCTTGGGTCATTATATCTATTAAAAAACCGCATCGAAATTCGTTGCGTAGTTTTATATATTTAAGCCTAAGTAGGGGATAGAAAAAGCGACTTTGTTTTGAGACTAAATATGATATAACAAATATAGTGCACAGTTGAAGAAAAAGCACAGTAGAACAAGAAACGATTTTCTGACAATAATTGAACGACATCGATTGAACTTACATTAGGATCGTGGTCAGTGACGTCGATGTCAGGCACTTCAGCTGAAGATGTGAAGTTGGTTGAGTGTGATGGATCATGAAAACTCACTCCAGCCTTGTGGCGTTTCATTGTACCTTTAAACGACACATCAAAGAAAATAAATTTTATTTTAGATTCAGAAAGATAATAGCTTTCAGCTAGCAAAATGGGACTCTCCACGATAAGTAAAGTATGTAGTAACATTACATATGTTTTAAACATTAATTTTCATAAATGGATACGTTGAAAATTGTTTTTTTAATTACCTGGGTCATTAGCTTTTCCATCTTCTTTCTTCAGCTGCATTATTTTTTCCCAGAGCGTGACGTTTGACAAAAGACCTAGTTTGTGAGCTTCCAGCAACTCGTCTAGCTCTTCGGACGAATCGTCCCCGATGTACGCGCACTCCTGCAGGTGTTTGTAGCCTTTTATCATTATCAACGACGCTCCCGGCCACCTGAACGTTAAAAACATTAACTTTGGATGCAAAAGTTTATAAAACGTAAATGATCAACGAAGAAAATGATCCACAAGATGACAATGGATTTTGATATTAAATACTTTTCGTAGTTTACGCGAGTAGTGCACATTTAAATAAAATAACACTTTAACGGTTTAAAACGCGAAATATATTAAAGTAATTTGGAAAATTATTTTAACTACAGCCCGACGTTTCAGTCTACAAGTTTCAGTCAACAGTCAAAGTGCTTTAGTTGAATAGGAACATTATTATAAATGAAAATGAATTAATTAAATTGGAATATCTTAAATGGAAAAATAGGATAATATATAATATAGGACACGGGCAGGACTTGAACCGACATCCACAGCCGAATTAATTGTTTATCGCCGCTTTTACCACAGAACACTGTAGACTGTTTGGGCAATGAGTACAAAGTAGTATTTCATTGTCACAGGCCCTATGCTTACCTGCAACAAGCAGACACAGTAACCGTGGATCCCTGTAGAAGGTAGAAGCCCCAATACTCCTTCATGTCGTCTTCGAGCTCCAACTGACGCGTCATGGAGACGGGGACTAGCTCCTCGGTGAGCTCGGGGGGTCCAGGCACCACGAAGGCATTGAACGTCGCGTTAGATTTCACGACTTGCCTCTGTTCGTGATAAGGGAATAATGATTTATTTTTATCATACAATAAGTATGCTCACTGCTCACTGCATTATTGGTAATTAAGGGCTTATATTTTGTTCTTTAAACATACATTTCAGAAATTAGTTCCTCGTGTCTTTGGAATCGGAAGCTAAAATGTAATAAATAAAATATTTCCTATCTTATCTTAGTCTTGCGATACAGTAATACGCAAATGAGAGACTAAAAATATTAGCTCAGGTATTGGACGATTACAGATCAAGTAGTTAGTTATCACTTATCTTGAATAGTTCAACTAAGTATTTAGGTTATGTTTTATTCAGGCAAGTCGTTGTTGGGTACTTTCAACTGCTTTTTATTTTATTTTGCGCCGAATTTAGGTGAGGCGATGTTAGACTATACTTAGGTGACTATTCTGTGATTTATTAGTTTACAAAAGAAAACATGTCAAGAGTTATATAATATAATGTTCCTATTATGTATAAGGTTTTACAGGTTTACAGGCGTCTGCTGGAACCTGTAAGCCGCGGGTCACATATATGTATAAAAAGTAAGCTAAAAAGGTTTTTCTTATTGATAAGCTTGAATACTGTCTATAAGCTTGAAGTTGAATAGTGTTCATATCATACAACAAGATAAAATTTAAATGAAACTAGACATAATCAATAAGCTAGAGGTATATCTCTGGTTGTCTAGTAGGCTAAATATTACTTTATTCTGAAGGTTTACTCGTTTTGCCTCGCCTATCTAATCCCTTATTTTAAGTAAAATTTAAGCATTATATTCTATTCAGTCGATAAGAAAATATATTCGAAAGACACAGCTTATAGATAAAGTATGATTATTCTAATCTTTTAAGTGTATGAGATGAAAACTAGTCTAAAGAACGGAAAAATTCGAGACGAGTCTGTGAATTATGAAGTCAAATAATATATTTTTAACTTAAGTAAATACATGACAAGTAATAAATTTAATGTTAATATATATTACGGATTACATTGGACACTTGAAGGTTGACTTCGCTTACTAAATGCAAAACCAAATTTGTATAATAATTTTTGGCACTGTAAACATTTGCCTGAAATATTCGCGCTGATAGAATACTTACAATATTTTTACATATTTGATGACAACAATTGATACATCATTTCGTTGCAAAATATTATATTAAACTTATGTAGTATTTTATTACAAGTCAGTAATAGTAGAAACCTCGTAACGCTAATGTAATATACCCTATCTCCCTTAAGATTAAATTAAAAAAAAATTAAACATAGAAAAGATAATTGTCTGACCAACTCATTAGCAACAATTGTTGCTTAACCGATCAAAGTTTAATTGTCTATTCTCAAAACTAACCGATAACGAGGAGTTACTGTATCAATGTGTACACACTGTGCATCGATCAAATGGGGACGAATCTGTTTGCTTTAATTTGAATTATCGCGTGTGCATCTGTGTGCAGTGGGTAAATATTTTCGAAATATTACGATGAATATCTCACTAGTTACATATTTGAATGACTATGAATTATTACAGTGGATAAATTGACTGAGCCGTAGTATAAACACAATTATAGATAGATCTCTATGGTGAGAATATAAAACGTGTACAGACCTACCTGGCACCAAGTCGGCGATATCTTCCTGTCTATCAGCCGCATATCCGTCATGCTCATCGGGTACATCTGACCGGAGAAGACGCGGTACCTGCAGAAAGCAACGCAAAGAAAACGAACAGCAGGTGTAATGCAGTAATATATATTTATTTGGTCTCGGATAAACAAAGACACTCACTTCATATACAAAGGAGTGAAGATGAATATAGATGGCAGCACTATCATGAGGGCGAGGAGTCGGCAGAGTCTGATGGGCCCCTTGTAACAGGAACGCGAGGCGACGCTCGTCTGCCGGTTTGTCCGGGGCCGCTGCAGACCCCCTGGACACCACGAGGCAAATTAAAAGATGTGTAATATTATATTATGCTTAAGTAGGTACCGTGAATGGCAATGTTACGAACAAGAGTGGAATGATGGAATCCGAGGCGTTATATTTAAAATAATAAATAAAACCTTAACCGTTTAAAACTGGAAATATGTATAATAATTGAACTTCTTCAAGAAATATTTTCAACTACGTTTCGAATGCTTTGCAGCAGCCGTAAAAGACCGCAAGTTCAACTAATATATTTCGCGGTGTAAACCATTAAAGTGTATACTACTCGCGTCTGTAGTTTACGCGAGTAGTACATTGCTTACTGATAAACCTTAAATTATGTTGGCACTATGGACCTACCTTCCAATGGCACTAGCTCTTGTGGGTCCATGTTGAGCTGCGGTCACATCCCGACTGAATTGATGTAAAGATAGTGATAGTGAACTCGAGCTACACTTATCAACCTTATCAACCTTTAATTACGACTGTTGCTATCTGAAACAAAAGGTTTTGTTACCTATACAACACCAGAGACATAACCATTGCCTATACATATTTTTATAAACTGACTTAAGAACACGGTTCCACCATAATGCCTAAATAGGGCTTGGCGAAATTTGACGGCTACCAGTAAAAGAGTGGTGATAACCGGGACCGACGGCGTAGCGCGCTCTCAGATTTCAACGAAAATTAAAAGTGGCTTAAACTTATCTCAATTGTAATGATGCATAACAAATTGTTTATTTTTCTATTGTTTGAACGCCAATCCATTAGCGGGAGTCATCGAGAAAATATTTTTCGTCGTAAACAACTTAATTAGTGTGTAATTTGATCGAATCGATTGCAAAAGTGATGCTAGCTTTTGGGCCATATGCATAATTATATCTCTTAAATTTTGAAAGTGTTTCATTGGTCTAGAAGGTCTGCAGATCGGGAGGTCCCGGACTCCAATCCTGGGCGAGCGGAATGTCACACATCAAGTGGACAGCCCGGAGTTTGGAAGGAGATTTGTTATGACCCTCGAACCTTTGAGCACACGGTTGATGTCGGTCGCGGATATCACCGCTTTTTTAATCTCTTTTTAATAATCCCTACCTTGGAAAAAAAATCAGCCCGGCAGTGCAACATTAATAGGTTGAAAGGAGACGAGGAAAGATGGATCACCTTAGATTTAAAATTTCAAGGCTCTCAATTCTCTTTACAATAAATAAATGCGTTTAGTTATATTATAACACATGTGACCTCGATTTGATCAACAAATAAATAAGACAAAAAAAACAATAATTTCACATAAGTAAGTATATATCGTTTATATACAAATTTGAAGCACAAAAATAAGAAACAGTGCTTTTCTGATTTCGAGAAGTAATAATGGCGATGGACAAATTAACAAATCACGTTTTCGCATTTTTTAGTAAACCACATTATTCCGGATATAAGTAGTGCTTTTAAATTGAGATCGGGTTAAGCGTTTTACTCTGATTCGCTCTTCTATTACCAAGGCTGGCTAGGTGTATTTTTAGTATAGATGTTGGTTCTTTTTTTTGGTCTACCAATTTTGGGTATTCTTCGGCGACTATAAAAACTCCGATTCTAAGATTTTTTGTAAGAATTCTGACTGAAGAAGACTGACTTCAATCAGCCATAAGGTGGTATCTATTCGAATGAATAACTGTGGATCAATGTCCTCTTGCACCAATTGATAACTAGTATCAATATTTATAGCCAATTACACGTGTTAGTAATAATTACAACACAATTATACAAAGTCTAGTACGTACTAGCTACTAGGGCTGTAGACATGAGCATTTCTACACTACCATCAAAGGTACCTATGAAGTCAGGGGTACAAATAATCCTGGCCAATATTTTGTCATGGGCAAATTAAACCTCACTCACACAATACACAAGCTAATCATCAACATAGCTTGGATGTAAGACTAACTTTAGAAAATGCTATTGTGATTTAACAGTGACCAGAAACAGCCGATTTACCGATCGACTAACATTACGAACGTCTAGAGTTTTACGCTACTGTTTGAATAAATTAAAAAATCTTGTTTTGACTTCTAAACACCTACGTTACATAAATAATTCACAAATGACGACATTATAATTCTCATATAGTGTAGTCATATTTTATAAGGAATAGTATATAAGACGTCCAGTAACGTTGGTAGCATTGACGATAGAGTCAATATTGAATTAGTGTAACACGTTTCGTTAATGTTTGTGAGATTCGGCGATGATTAACATTTAACATTGACTATGGAATCAAAATTATTGTTATTAAATTAATATTTGCAACAGGTAATACGAACATACAAAATATAAAATGCAAACAGACTTTCATGCCTGTCGCTGCCTTCTTCAATCCTTTTATCACAAATGTGTATTTAAGAGTTGTTACTTTTATACGTTCATGTTGAACAGTACCTATATTGACTAGCTAAGTCGAAGATAATTATTAATTACAACAAAATTAAACATAATAGAAATCTAAGATTGATGCTAAGATTTTCTGTGCGTAATGATTTTAACACGAATGAATTTGGCGCTTTGAGGGATTTTGCATATCGCCAAACGTAACCTTAATTTGCACAACATCAAATAGTATTGGAAACCTTACACTATGTATATAATATTAAAGAATACATACATCGTGATAAACAGATCGGTCGTCACCCTTTAGCACAATTAAAAGCACGCCACCGTTACTAAAAATAAAATACGCGCTAACACCTCTACTACCAATGACAGACTATCGCTATCAACGTTCAAAAATATCGGGACAATTATATAAACAGTCCATTGTATACTCTGTGCGATGGCAACAGATTATATTTTAATGTGGCGCCTTTATACTCAGTTGCTTGTTGTGTGACACAATACGCGTCTACTCTTGATTTCTTGAACAATGTTATAATTTATACTTACTTTATAACAACTTAATGGCTGAATTGATTAGGATGATAATACGTATGGTAGTGGTTCTTATACCTAAAAGCGTAGATAAGTAAATATTTTTTTACTTCCATTAAATAATCAATCCTAGTGCTAGCGCAGTCACTTCTTTTCTCAACCCTAGATTTTGCCGATATTTTTTCCCCTGCCCCCCCCGAAGAACAACCCAATAAATTGGGACCCCCCCCAAATTTTTCTTTTCTTTTTTTCTTTTGCCCGGGAAAAATTTTTCCTTCCCCCCCCCCCCCCCCAACCCCCCCCTTTGGGGGCCCCCCCAGGGGGGGGGGGCCCCCCCCCCCCCCCCCCCCCCCCCCCCCCCCCCCCCCCCCCCCCCCCCCCCCCCCCCCCCCCCCCTTTTTCCCCCCCCCCCCCCCCCCCCCCCCCCTTTTTTTTTTTTTTTTTTTTTTTTTTTTTTTTTCCCCCCCCCCCCCCCCCCCCCCCCCCCCTTCCCCCCCTTTTCCCTTTCTTTTTTCTTCCCCCCTCCCCCCCCCCCCCTTTTTTTTTTAACAACCCCCCCCCCCTTTTTTTTTTTTTTTTAATTTTCCCCCCCTCCCCCCTTTTTTTTTTTTTTTTTTTTTTTTTTTTTTTTTTTTTTTTTTTTTTTTTTTTTTTCCCCCCCCCCCCCCCCCCCCCCCCCCCCCCCCCCCCCCCCCCCCCCTTTTTTTTTTTTTTTTTTTTTTTTTTTTTTTTTTTTTTTTTTTTTTTTTTTTTTTTTTTTTTTTTTTTTTTTTTTTTTTATTTTTTTTTTTTTTTTTTTTTTTTTTTTTTTTTTTTTTTTTTTTTTTTTTTTTTTTTTTTTTTTTTTTTTTTTTTTTTTTTTTTTTTTTTTTTTTTTTTTTTTTTTTTTTTTTTTTTTTTTTTTTTTTTTTTTTTTTTTCTCCTCTCCCCCTTTCCTTTTTTTTTTTTTTTTTTTTTTTTTTTTTTTTTTTTTTTTTTTTTTTTTTTTTTTTTTTTTTTTTTTTTTTTTTTTTTTTTTTTTTTTAATCAATCCTATACCTATTCTTAGCTGTAGCTAATAAATATAATCGAAATGTACTTACCCATGTACTTTGATTTATATATTTTGCCGAATATGTATGACTACAAATAATTACATTGAAAAAAATTACATATTTGTAAATTTTTGTCAAAACATCAAACATATACTTATAGATATAGATTTTAGTATAAAAGTAACTATAAAAAATATGTGTTACCTAACCGTTTCAAAATTGAATTAGTAAGTAGTATTATATAAGTAAAATATTATCACCATATTAGTTATTGTTACTCTACTAAAGGAGTTATATTGGGTCTTTAATATCTCTATAGGACTGTAAACCTTCTAGGTGCCTAAGCCATTCTTACCCAATAAGAGAGTTGGGCATAGTTGTTGATATTTACGTTTTAGAATAGCATACTTAAAATATTATACCTACTGAAACAGATCTAAGTATGCTGTACAATTTTGACTAGTGGGTATTTCTTTTCATGACTGAGCCTTGGCGAAGAAAATTACTTACATCATAATATACTGAATCCAGACTGTTGTCGAATTGAATCTCAGCTTGATCCTTTTCGTGAAGTTTCGGCATTGATTGTCACAACAGCGATAAAAGATAGGTACTTAATGGTAAGTTAACTCAGGGTAAGTTACTTTTATATTCGTATTTAATTAGGTTTTCAAAGATATTGAATAATAATTTTAATCAAAGATTATCATCTATTGACGCATGTTCTAAAGAAAGCGTTATTTAGATTTCGTGCTATATTTTATTTTGTATTTATATTATATCTCTTCTATCATTGATAAATCGATACGATTGTCGGACTGACTTTCGGCGATATGGTGCAGACCTGGAATCCGTGCACTGATACTTGTTGGTTCATCTCTCATGGCGTATATCTTTGCATATCACATCATGTATATGTTATCTTCCGCCAAAACCTTAATTTCCATTTCCATAAGGCTTATAGTCGCGTAGAGCGAATTTTCTCACTCCGCCCCCACTCGCAATTGGTCTCTCAGAAAGTATCTTCAGCCAATAGGACATCACATCGCACAACCCTAGTTGGAAATTCAAATTAATTTTATTTCAGTATATATTCGTCCTTGCCAAATAAAGGGTGGCTGTAGCGTAAAAGGAATTGTGAGCGATTAAGGATTCCGTGGTTTAAGCGATTTAGTGTCAGTTTTATGCCAACCGTGACGAATATTACTGGCGGTCAAAGTGAGTAAAATCCCGTTTTCCTTTCATTCAATTGTAATACAGGAAAGTTGTTCATATTTCGATCGCTGCTCAATCGCTCATTCGATCCAGGGCAGATCGCACCCATGACTGTCCCGTGCTTAACGCTATGCTGGATAACATTGGGTTACGGAGGTGGTCTGTGGCCTGGAAGATCTGTTTACAGGATTTTTTATTACCAATTTAAACATAATAATAGATACAATTTACAAGTTTCTTAATGCGCAATCCTAGAATAAATACTTAATTAAATTTTTTTCTGGGATAACATATCACTTACCTAGGTGTCTATTTTACGTATTTTTGACAGTTAAAAATACATAATTTATGAGCATAGAATAATGCAAAATTTATTCCCGTCAATAATAAACGCAATTACTATGATTAATTAATAACTGCACAAAGTTTAGTTATTTTTACATCACAGGATGCCACTATCACCGGATGTTTTGTTTCAATTTTAGGTTTGTATTTTAATATAACTAGATAATGTGGATAATAGGTACCACTCATAAATGAATCACTGCTTTATATTACAAAAACACTACCTATATCAGATTTGTTTAGAGAAAACAATGTAGGCGCATTTATAACAACAAAAAAAGAACATAATTGATGTGTTTTATCTGGTAAATATTCAAAGTCTCAAAAAATTATCCAGTAAAAAAAGTCTGTTACAATTCTGTAGTTAATTTATATTTAGACTTCGAACCGGGATCCCGCGGTAGTAACTGAAACCATCAATAACAATATTTTGTCGTATGTAGTATACCCAACTGCAATGACGTCAGACCAAGAGTCGTGTTCTGATGAAGAGCCTGACAGTGAGATGCTGAGTGATGACCTCTGCCTGCCGGACAGTGATGATGACAGGCAATGCTTGAAGAATTCACAGGTTCCTACGCTTTCCATTAAAAACAAAATGCAATGCTTAAACATGTTCAAAAAGCCTTCTCTAAGTATTGTAGTTTAGGCTAGTAGACCACATTTAAATAAAACATCTTCATCTTTCCTTTTTGTTTTGACGCATCCGACACGTCGGGTCGTAGTAAAATTAAATTGCAAATAAGTTTAATATATTTCACGGTTTAATCCGTTAAAAGTGTTTTGTTTAAATACTGTCTCCACTTAAAACATCCATCTCATGTTAAGTTTTTTACAGTTTCTTCTACAAACTTATTCTTGAATTATGAAATATACATAAATTGATATAAAATTCAATCACTGCCGTGCATTATCAAACCTGCCATATATACAGAAAAAAAAACAATTGGAAAGAATTGTATCATCTTATTTTACACTAACGTTTGAAATTGAAGACTCTTTGATAAAAAATTGTCATTTGTTTTCTGTACAGAATCTTCCAGAAGAATTACCTTTAAACTCCTGTCTCCTGCTGCCCCCACGGAACATTTCTACCAACAGCAGAGAGCGATGGAGACAGCAGAATGTCAGCGGAGCGTTTGCAGAGCTAAGGCGACTTGTCCCGACCTATCCGCATGACAAGAAGTTATCTAAAAATGAGATACTGAGGATGGCTATAAGGTAAAAAAAACTAAAAAGGAATCATTCGGTGGTAGTTAGACGTCAATTGTAAGTTTGAAAACGGACTGATAAATTCAATACTAAATTATAAAATGGTTAAATGGATTTACTTCACTGGAGGTTCCTTTTATGCCTGGCCAAACTTATTCCGAAGTCTAATGAAAATGTAATTTTTATCAAACACTTTTAAATACTGCATTTTAGCTAGGATATTATGTCCTATCCATACGAATAATAATTAAAAGTTTAGTTTTAATTTCTTGTACGGTTTTTTAATATTTAACTTATTGAACAGGTACATAGGCCTCCTCTGCGAAGTGATAGAGTGGCAGAAGAATCACGGTCTACTAACGAATAAGGAGAACGCTGGTCTCGCAGTCAAGTGTGAAGCCCCAGCAAGCCCCCTAGCATGCAGACTCCTCAAACGTAACATTGACATACACAGACCTGAGGATTACGATTTCTTCAAATATGGCAACGAAGAAAATGAATTTAGAAGGAGATTCAACAAGAACGACTTCTTGTATGGCAAAGATTTGAAGTTGTTGCGAAATAAGTACTATTTCACATCGCGGTGGCGACAAATGCCCTTCAGAAACCTTACAGGGGACAAAAATGGGAATAATTTGCTAATGATTGCTCCAGGAAGTAAGGATGAGGAGAAGAAGGATAAACATGATAGTAAAGACGGGAGTAAGAGTTAGGTTGAAATCAGTGTAGACGCTTGAAAAAAAATATGCATTCTTCGCTTTGTCTAGGAAGGTTCAATTCGTAGTTATGGCAAAACTTCGAAAACTATTTCTGAAGTTTTGCCTTTGTGTCTGCATTTACTGTCTATAAACAATAATAAAACAAGCAATTATAGTCTATACCTCGCCTCTTTAGTGATTGTTATTTACTTATGAAATAAGGCTGTTATTAATAAAAACGCCTGATGATTGTTTTTGGCAATTTTAAGTTTATTCTTTAGCCTTACACTATGCATATTTCTAATTTATTTAAACAACGGTTAGAGCGGTTATTAAAACATTAAACATAAAGGTAGTTATAACTTAAAAAATGTAACTTATATAATAATAGTGTTCTTATGATATACTGATGAATTTCATGCATTGAACAAACTTGTATATAATTTACTTAATAAACTTCCTATACGTGAAATTGGTTTACTCTTGTAATCCTGCTTAAATATATCCCATATCGATCGATATAAATGAATTGATATTTTATCGGAGGGCAAAGCGTATACGCAAAGTTACGTGGTCAAAATATATGTGATCAAAAGTAATTTGACTAGAACATCGTAAGTAATCAAAAGTGGTTCTTGAGAAAACACTCTAATCGCAGTGCATTTAAGTATATTTTTCCTTGGTGTTTTCTTGATGCAATCTATATAATTAAAAATATTTATCTGTGCCTTTCAGTTTTAATTCTTTAGTGATATGGAGTGTACGCTTGTCGATTATTAATCTAGGTATATTCATCAAAATGGTGAGTAAGGATTTATATGTATGTATCTTGTAAGTCAATATGTATTAGGTTTTACTGATCAAATATTTACAAAGATGTGCTATCTCGTAAATATCTGGAGAGTGTCCTAGTCATCTAATAGGTATTTTTATGTATTATGATCAAATAATCTAACATGTGACATGTGATGTCGTCGAGAATTCGATGCCCGGTAATACACAGTATTTTTTTAGATCCATATACCTTCCTAACAGATAGAGGTGAACGAGATTTGGCACGTCCTAAGCCAAGAAAAGCTCCCACTTCTTATTGGGCCAGTCATAGTAAATACTAATGATTTATTCTAACATAAAAATATTGTGGAAGTTATTTATAATAATATGTGACTTACTCTAATGCATTTTTTACTGTGATTACAAGAACTCGAACTTCAAATTATATTAAATTAACGAGTCACGACATTAAATTCATTCGTGAATGGAGCCTGTATATGCATATTTATTTAATTAATTAATAATATTTATAATTTTAAAGTGAATAAATTGACCGAGTCGTTAAATTAAACATTTTTGTAAAAACTAAAAACCACGAAGTGTACTAATGAGTACGACTGCCTCCGTAGAGTAATTCTTAAATGCGTTAGGCACGAATGGCACCGGGTTCAAATGTCGTGGTAACGAAAAACAATCATTTATATTGGTATTTAGCAATAACTAAGCAAATAGCAATTTTTTACATATGTAAAATTATACAGATGTGACTCATAACCGATACATATATTTATAATTTTTTTGTATGCGTTATATACGAATTCGTTTTTGTTAATTTTTTTTATAAAAGAACACAATAACTTCTTAAAAGTATTATATTAGATTACTATAATCGAAAAAATGCCCACATAATTAATATTACCTAACTGATAAGATCAGATTTAGATGCAGAATTTACACGTACACCTATACATGAATCCTATTCTTTAAGCTAAAGTTACGTAGTTAAGTACACTTCTTACCAATATTAATTTTACTTTCAACTTATGTCAAAATATAGGTAACTTACTTACCTGAATGCTAAGATAAATTAATAAATCGAATTATTCTAGAGTAATCAATTCTTATCGAACTCTTATCATTGAACGGGCGTGGGTCTTGATTATGTTGAGAACATCGTGCTAACAATTACCCTGTATTAAAGCTACAACAAAAATACTAAAATGTGTTCTGTGATTTTTATAACTTTGTTTACCAAATTTAAGGTTTGTTGTGATAAGTTACACTTTCTTTCCACTCTTATTAGTTACAGCTAGACGTTTTTGTCTATTATTTTCATTAATAATGTACAAACAGTAACGAGTAACATAATTTGATTTAGTCGCAGACAAAATATATAGTAAATTATAAGTAAAATATTACGTATTAGTATATTTGTTTGAAAAATATCATCCCTCTATTTCAGTTTTTCCGGATCATACTGTTAGTGTTCTTAACGGTAGTCACCACTCCAGTTCTCTACTTCTCCCTTAAGTCTCCTCCCCCATTACCCGATATTGATTTGGAAGAGTGGTGGGCTTCCAAGCTGTCCAAGGCAAAACAAAATGACAGCATCGTGCCTTTTAAAGTAGAGTTTAGTGAGTCGGTAAGTACTAACGTGTATTGAAGGAAAAAATAAATATATTCTGAAAAACACTACACCATTAGAATATATGACAAAAAGAGATAAAATAATATTGCAATAACAAAAGTAATATGAATTAGCATTTACATGCTAAATGTTGAATTAACTAGACTTCAATAGCCAATTGTTTATTAATTACTTGCATAATTTTATAGGATTGTAGGTCTAGAGAAATATACCTACCTAAATAAAGATTATAGATATTATAGTAATACAAAACACTACTTTAAACAAAACATGATTTATAATTTTTAATTTTATTTGAATTTAGTTGTTGTAGAAATTAATTGTATATATTTCTATTGTAGCATATAAAGGATATTCGTGAACGTCTTCGCGATCGACATCCGCTAACTCCTCCGCTAGAGGGCGTGGCGTTCGAGTATGGCTTCAACAGCAAGCAGCTGGAGTCTTGGCTCAAGTATTGGGCTGATGAATACCCCTTCAGGTTAGTTTCGACAACATTCCTTCATTCCGGAAAAGGGAAATTTCAACGTCATATTCGTGTTCAAATGAGTACAAAGATGAATTTTATATAATCAAGATATTATGTATAATTTATATAAAAAAGTTTATTTTATTATTGCTTCTTTATAAATTTCAGGACAATTTTACACAATAATACAGTTACAATGTTTTTTTCAGTCAACGAGTTGAATACATAAACAAATACCCACAATTCAAGACGAATATTCAAGGTCTGAATATACATTTCGTAAGAGTAAAACCAGAGGTAAGCTAGAGTTACTTATTACTGTAAACTGTTATTAGTGATAGTGACTATAATTTTGAACTGCATGTGGCTGTACAATTTGAATTTGAGCTGTACATTTAAATGTAGCTGTAGTATATTATATGTAAGTATTATATAGCTGCAGCTTCTTGCATTTTTTGATAAAACATAGACTGAGAATTTTGGTAGGAGGTAGTTGTAAATATGTTTTTATAGAGTGATCTTATTAACAACAGATATTTTCTTAGGTACCAGCGGGCGTTGAAGTTGTTCCTGTGCTGATGCTGCACGGATGGCCTGGTTCTTTTCTAGAGTTTTATGAAGCCATCCCCAGTCTGACAAGTGTTAGCAAAGATCGAGACTTCGCCCTGGAGCTTATTATACCCAGTTTACCTGGTTATGGCTTCTCTAGTGTAAGTTGCATATACATGCAACGATAGGTGCCATTTTTTCTCAATTGTGTGTAAGGATTTAAAAATTCATTTACTGTGTAGGCTGCTATTCGACCTGGTCTTGGAGCTGACAAAATGGCAGTCGTGTTGAGAAATCTGATGGCAAGGCTTGGCTTTAAGAAGTATTACGTGCAAGGTGGCGATTGGGGTGCGATGATTGGACAAGTGATGGCTACATACTTCCCACAGGTGATTTTCCTTCTTGATAGATTTATATTGGTACTAGCTAGGTCAACGACTTCGTCCGCGTAGAATAGTTATTTTGGGCCTCCAAATTAGTTTTTGTGGGCCTCCTTATAAATTCATCTTTGTAAATTTAATCTGTTACCCACGATATGGATTGCGTTCCGTCGCTCGCAACCCGTCGTTCTTGCAAATTAATCTTAAAAGATAGTATAATAATAGTATCCCAGACATTTTTTAGATCATTTAAAGGAGAATCATTATTTTCTAAATATAACTGCTGAATTTTGTTTCTTATGTTTTTTAGCAGAGCTGCAGTTACGGAACTCGTACAATTTTATCAAAGTATCCTACCTCGTACGAAATAGAAAGTTTACTCTTTGGAAAACTAAAGAGAATAGTTAATAAAATTAACCATTTTTCTTCTAGGAAGTTCTCGGTTACCACACGAACCTGCCATTCCTAGCCACTACACCTACAACTCTGATTCGCCTGCTGGGCTCCCTTTTTCCCTCTTTCGTGGTGAGACCCGAAGCAGCTGATAGAATGTACCCACTTTCCTCTTTCTTCGCAAGGCTTTTAGAGGAGACTGGTTACTTACACCTTCAGGCTTCCAAACCAGATACAGTTGGTAAGAGATTGTTGTTGAATTCATCTATATTTCAGATGCAATAATAAGTATTACGAAATTATAAAAAAATAAAAAAAACTATTGTAAATTTTCTAATCAAATCCTTAAAAACAGCTGTCGTGGGTTTACGCAAAATACTCTAAATTGTACACACTACAGTGTATTATTTCTCCACTGTTTCCGGTATTTTTCTTACAAGAAGACAGAACTTTTCAAATACAAAAGTATCCAATAATATCCTTTTTTAACTAAAAATGCTTTTTCTTCGGGAAACAATGCTCTTAGAGAAATATAAACTTATTTTAGGTGTAGCTTTGGCTGATACTCCTGCGGGCCTAGCAGCTTATATTCTGGAGAAATTCTCCACTTGGACAAACACCAATTACCGTACTAAGTCAGACGGTGGTCTCACCTCAAAATTCAGCAAGGAAAAGCTAATTGACAACTTGATGGTCTACTGGGTGTCAAATTCCATAACCACTTCGATGAGGCTTTACGCAGAGACATTTAACAAGAGATTTATGAGCCTCGAATTAGATGAGTAAGTACAATGAAAAACATCACTTCTTAATCACAGTTTGACAAAATCTTTGTATTCAATGTTGCCGTTTCCCTTTTTTTCAGAATAGTAACACCAGTGCCTACATGGTTAATCCAGGCTAAGTACGAGTTGGCGTACGTGCCTCCGTGGCTTTTCAAGTTCAAATACCCCAATCTCCTAAATGAGACCTTGCTGGATGACGGAGGACACTTCTTGGCCATGGAGATGCCCGAGATTTTCTCTAAAGACGTCCTGAAGGCGATGGATGCTTTCAGAAAATGGCACAAACAACAGCATAAAACAGAATTGTAAATAAATTATTTTGTTTGTACGTTCGTAGTATGATTTAAACTTAGATAACTGCAGTTTCCAATTCAAACCTGAATTTGTACAGCAGCATGCTAATACCTAAAGATAAGTGGATATTATTTCTTACAAACCAAAACCGACGTTTAAAAGGATTTTTATCACACGTATTTTTCCTTATAATCTACTTATACCACGTTCAAATCTAGCAACTTTATAGTCATTTAGACTTGTGGTTACTACGTAATAAGGGAGTATATTATAGACATAAGAATTAGACAATATAAAATGTGTCCATGGTATCATGATATCATTCTCTACTATTTGTTGTAGTCAAGATCTTTCCAACTAAATCCTTTATTATAGAGCTAAATACTAAAAAGTGGTCTAAAAGGCACCCCTAAAGAGGGCAATAAAATGATGCAAAATCGATACGTACTTGACTGCCTAATCTCATAAGCCGAGCGTCGTTGCGGCACGCGCCTAGTGGTGGCATTGAATTAATTGAGGCTATGTTTCATGAATCAATAAGTTCGTTTTTGGAGGCGTGTGAACACGTAGTCCACAGTTTAATCTTCCAAGAAATATTAAGAAGAATAAAGCAAATTAATTCAGCTTAGTGGATCTAATCTGGTCGATATAATAACAATTTTGTCTCATAACGAAAAAATAACTTTAACAGGCCATAAAATATTATAAAAAAAAAAACTTATTGATTGACAAATGAAATTTTAAATAATGCCTTTTTATCTGTGTCCTAAGAGCGCCAACTGGTTTAATATCAATAATGAATAATTTATCTCATATTAATTCAATACAAATATTTATATCTTTTACTTAATCCCGAGCGGCGCTCGGTCACGTGATCTGTGTATTGTTACTTGATAAAGTAAGTCGTTATAGATTAGAGATATTTGTTACTCATTTGAATATTTATTAATAATATATAAGAAGCTCAGCTAGTAAAAAGCATTTATGCTGCAAAAAATTACCTCAACAACATTATTGTGTACTAAATGTAATTAGAAAAAATATATAATTGCGTGCGTACCAGTATTATGACTAGGCTAGGACTAATCTCAAGGATGAAATGAGGATAAAACAAATAAAAAAAGTGTTTGTGCGTAGGCCGGGAATCGAACCCGGATCAACTGCTTGGAAGGCAACTATGCTGACCATTACACCACCAACGCATGTTTTAATTGTCGAAAATAATAACCATAATTTCTTTGTCTAGTGTGTTTAAAATTATTAATTTTAAATAATCCTTTTCCCCCCCCCCCCCCCCCCCCCCCAAACCCCCCCAAATGTCGCTTAAATCAATTCCAAATAGCTTAACTAATATATCGCGTTTTAACCGTCAAGTGTGTTATTAAATTGATTAATTTTACTTAATCTCAGAAATAACTTAAACAAACATCAATTACGGAAAATAATATTATGTAAATCTTTATCGTCTTTTGATCGGTTGTAAATATTTAGAGATGAACTTTTATTTATCTATTATCTACCTAGATGTAAGTAAATCCAATTAAATAGAAAAAATGTAGATTATTATTACCTTACCATAATCATTAATATTATCAGGAACGAGTCTTTGACGTATTCGTTCCATAAGACACAAGAACAAGACCACAGACTGCTTTAAAATCCAATTAATCTGTGCTTAACAAAAGTTATTAAATAGAATTTTAAAAAGCAACGCTAAACTTAAGTCACCATAGAAATTTCTGATGTTGAGAATTAATTGGATTATTATCTGTTCTAATCGTTGCTTAACGGTCTTCAAAAGTTCCAAATAAAGTTAAGAGTTCATCTTATTGCCGTGTAAAGCGTTTTTGATAAGTCCTTTTTGTCTACAAAAGTAAAATTTTCTATCAAAGCGAAGACTTGTTTGTTTCATAAATCTCGGAAAATGCTTTTCTGGTTTTCATATCTGAGGTCTAGTATCCGTAGTAATTATTTTTTGGGTACCCTCATAATAAACGGCGCCAACGACCGCCACGAAATGGACGCGGTTGCCTAGCATTGTGTTTAGGTCCTGTTTAGCACGTGAGGTCCTGTGTCCGAATGCCGGAAAACAATAGATTGTTTGTCAGGTAGGTTAACTATTTGTTAACTACTACCGGATACAGACTTATGTTTGCCCTATGCCCCACTTCTTCATAAGCGATGAAATAACCTAGCACTTTTAATTAAATAAAAGAACGGCAACACCAATGTGCACAGCTAGTATTCTGAGGTACAAGATCGACGTTAAACCTCGTAAATGTATTAACTGAAACAAATTTTCGCACCCTCTCCCTTCGCCCTTATCAGTAGAACGCACGCCTGCTCCCAGGACCGCCCCTTTCCAGGATTATAAACCCGTAAGGGTCGTTTTGCTTTTTATTGGTTTAATATAATTTATTTCTCGACACGTTACATATTCGCAATAATCGTTATTGCTCAAGCAGACGTTAATCATTTCTTTATTATTATGATTTTTAAATAAAAAAATATAAAAATTATTTTAACATTTAAAATCTGGTCAAATTACAATAAGCGAAGATCGTCCTGAGATACTTTATTTTTTTTATGTTAAAGTAGAACAGGCTTCACGGTTCACTTGATGGAAGGTGAAATCTAACACGACGCGCTGTAGGCCTATTTAAAAAAAATATATTGGAAAAAATGTAGAGTTTTTTTCAAATATAATTTCTGCCTCAGTAAAATAAAATGCACTCATAGAAACAATGTTTTATTTAAAAAGATAAGAATTGGTACAGTAAAAAAATACACAGGTAAAAAAAGTAACAAATCACTTACATACAACTATCAACACCAAATCTTTAAATTAAAGTTCAGTTTTCATCTTTCGCCATTCCCTAAATGCTTTTACAGCTTTGAACACATCTGCTGCTAGGACTTCGGGCATTTCAAAGGCTATAAAATGTCCTCCTTCGTCTAACACAGTGACTCCGACGAGGTTTGTGTATTTAGTTCGGAGAATGTTTGGTGGCTGGTAAAACAGTTCATTCTTTGCTTGCAATGCCCAAGTTGGCACCTCGGTGGTGAATCTGAAAATTAGCAAAGGGAAGTTACAGAAGATCTTGTGCTAAAGAGTTAAGTTTAGACATTTCCCTTGTTTAAATTTAAGGTACCTTTAAAGAGACATTTTTAATTTGATACATTACTTAATAATAAACATTCTTACTTGCAGTAAAGATTACAAGCCTAAATTAAATCTAAATTGGATAAAAAAATATTAATACACAGGCAGGATTCGAACCGGTATCCAGAGTCTTCTGTGCTGTTGCTCTAACCAGTTGAGCTATGGTACTTGTGGAAAATAATAACATTTTGCCTAAACGGGCCAGTTTGAATAACAACCGTATTAAATTGTACCCACTTTTCTATATTCAACCCTCTGACTTTGTTACTCATCGCTTCAGCGTACAGCCTCATCGACGTGGTAATGCTGTTGCTGGTCCAGTAGATCATCAGATTGTCAATAAGCTGATCCTTAGTAAAGGGTTTAAAGCCACCATCAGATCGCTCCTTGTTCTTAAATTCAGTCCATGTGGAAAACTTCTCTAGGATATACGCCAGAAGACCACTTGGAGAATCTGTTAATGCAATGCCTGGGAAGCAGAATAAGAGAAGACATTAATAATATTTCAGAAAAAATATTTTTAGATTTATCGCATTCGATCCGAAATATATAAGATGCATGTACCCTTTAAATATCTAAGTAATAAACGGGTAACACAAACCAACTGTGTCTGGCTTCGTGGCCTGTAAGTGGAAGTAACCAAACTCCTCCATTAAATAGGCGAAGAAAGCAGAGAGGGGGTACATTCGGTCGGCGAGCTCAGGGTCCACGATAAGGGATGGAAGTACTGTTCCGATCAGCGTGCGTAGTTGAGAGCAGCCATTCTGTAAGTAAAGTTGGCTTAAATTTCAAGAATATCTCATTAAATTAGTTTATACAATAACATTGATCAAAAATATCTGTGCTTCAGACGATAGATCTTCTCTTAAGATATGTACGTTACGCATTTCTATGATTTAACCTATTTTTCTAACTCGTAAAGCCTTTATATTTTGTACTACTCACCATAACGTTTAACATATTCGAATGATGACCCAAGACTTCGTCTGGGAATTGGGTAGCCATATTGGAAACGATAGCTGCGCCCCAATCTCCACCTTGGACGTAATATTGCTTGAAGCCGAGCCGATGCATCAGGTTCCTGAAGATAACGGCTATTTGAGGCGGGCCCATTCCAACGCGAACTGCGGCCTGGAAGAGGATTTCATGAATAGGTTTTCGTCAACAAATACTTACCCAACCCACTCATCGCGTGTCACTCCTGTGAATATTATTATAGTTCAAACATATATTATACTTACATCAGAGAAACCATAACCGGGTAAGCTGGGAACTATAACTTCGAAAGCGAAATCGTAGCCATCGACTCTCCTGGTCAAGAGGGGTATGGCCTCGTAAAATTCGCGAACAGAGCCTGGCCAACCGTGTACCAGTAATAAAGGCACCACGCTGACGCCCTTAGGAACCTTGAACGATTAATATAATAAAAGTTAATTAGTATACAGACTACATAAAGAGGTAAGTACTTAACACAGTATTGTCTGTTAATCGACATCTTAAAACTTAATGATGCATATTTACACTATACTGTATCGTAGAAAAATATGTTTAATTATCCGTTGAACTTACGTCTGGTTTTACACGGATGAAGTGTATATCCAAACCCTGTATGTTGGTTTTAAATTGTGGAAATTTGTTGAGGAACCTTTCCCTTGCTGCGAACGGATATTCGTCTGCCCAGTACTTCACCCACGGTGCAAGCTGCTTACTATTGAAGCCGTACTGGAAACCGACATCTTCTAGAGGGGGTACAGGTTCGCGATGACCTTTTAGTCGTTGCTTCAGATCTTTAATCATCTGAAATGTGATTGTGGCTAATGAGTTTAGATTGAATACGATTATATTACGTTGTTTAGGATTTAGAGTATGTAGACTTTATTGTTCATGATGAAACGAAGTTTTTTTAACGCCATCTTCATTAAACAACAAATGCGATACCATTTAATTGTCATCGTCGAACCTTCATAAGTGATTATAATTTTTATAATCAACAGTAGATGGCGCTATTTTAAACTTATTTTCTTAACAAAATGATTGTCGCTTTGACCATTCTGACCTTGAACGCTGAACATAATAATTTAGTGTCATTATACACATTACATTGTCAAGATATTACATAATGATACACCTATAATAGGTAAGTGCTTAGTTGTTAAGAGAGAGACGACTCAGTTATTCATACTCTTTTAAAAGTTCCAAGTTATAAAATTACAATTTGTAAGCTTCGCGTAAGAATGCGCACAAATTGTTAAGTAATTTCCACGTAGAAAACTTATCGTTACTATTTATCTATCTGAAAAATCGTAGTATAATGTTAGTAAGACAAATACCTCTGCTGAAAACTTGACTTGGAACGAGCGTATACTCTTCTCTTGTTTTCCTCTCAATTCCTTTGGTCCCCACCATTCCTCCAAGTCCAAAGTTGGCATGGGTTCCGGAAATAGAATCGTTGAAGCATACCATCCTCCTATTGCAGCCACTATCACCAATAACGAGATGACCACAAATTTTGTCATAATTGCTGTTCGCTGCTGATCTGCCGGCACAAGAGACTGAATATAAGGAGGTGATATATTATTTAGTAACGTATAGTTATTTATTATCGATACACGAGAATTGAAGTTATTTTCTTTTCATGTAACATTAGAAAAAAAGAATTATTGTTATAAATAGAAACACAAAAGGATCGTGACAAAACATATTTCTGATAAAGTTCTGATTCAGGTGCTAAGTTCACTCAAACACTTGAAAATCTACACACACTACAATAGGTAAATTCAAAAAGTTAAGGTCCTATTACAATTTCATAAGTTACATTACCCTGACCACTTAGATATCACGAAAAGAAATTGGATATTCTGGTCTATTTCTCAGATTACTTTAAGTAGTGATCACATTAATACATTTTTTATTTGGTCTTTATTGATCTTTCGAAACAGCTCGAGTACCTACCCTTTTAGTTCACGAAATAATTATTGGGCTTATCCTGAGTAACACGTCTATCATTTCTCATTACATAGGTGGAGGTAAGAATTTGATTATATTATTTTTTTAGTTAAATCGTACAATTTGTCAAGAAGCTTAGGTTATAATTTACTATCCTTACACAATAACAGATAAAGTTTCAGAAAAAAAAATATTTTCTGTAAGCGAAATGTGTACGCGCCGGCCGGCTGGCTGTAAAAGATTTCTTAAACTTTTTTAGTAAATTATGATTATACCGAATCACAGAAGGTTTTATCTATATCTTTAGTACATATTATATTTAAAAGGAAAGTACATGCAAAAGCCCCTTATTTGAATACTTTGAAAGTTTCACTGCGGTATTCGAAGTCGAAAAGGGCGATTAAATTTAAAACAAAACAGTATTGATATGACAGTGTAAACTTTATTAAGATACAAATAGAAATCAAATTTAGCATTCTCCTTGTAAGTTAAATGAAAACAGCGTTATACTAAGCGGTTAGCGATAAAAAAAACGATAAGAATATGTACCTCGTGAAGCAGCAAACGCGTCTGTCAAAGCAATCGCTTGTTTAGAGACTGCAGATTGCAGTGGTATCGTGTAGTGGCAATCGTAGCTTGAAAATTAGAAGCCGGTTGTGTCAGTTTATTTATCTACATAAGAAACATGCAAAGTTTTCTTAAGAATGAGTCATTCGTCGTATCTTTAGATAAACATTTTCAAATTGTTTGCTTTTAATACATGTTTGCGGAAGTTTAAGTAATAATAAAAGATAAATATGAATTATTTCTTACAAACTCATCAATTTGCAAGAAATGTTTTCCTCGTAAATGCATTTTAAAGAATGTTATTATAATTTGTTTATATCAACGCCCTCTATTTTTAATAGATGTTATTTTTTGTACAATAGTTTAAGATACGATTTTAGTTTTAGTAAGGTGGCGTTAAAAATAAATGACTGCTCCGATTGTCATACGAATTCGGAATATTTATCCCGTTTTACAAGCCGTTTTTTAGCCTCGAACGATGGAAACACACGGAAGCGTAATATGGTCTTATGGAAATAAAAAAAAAACACTTTTACAAAAAAATCTAATATTTATTAGGCATCTCATGTTTACATAAGCCAACTAGAATAAAAATCCAGTAGTTGATAAATATTTAATGTGCATCATCTGTTTTATTGTCACGATTATTGTCATTAATTATTTTAAGGAAACTTGATAAATGAGCTATTTTACAGCTATGTTATTGAGTTAAAATTTTATTATATTAAAAAAGAAGAACTTAAGGAGAAGCTCAGGTTATAAGCATAAAAATTTGATATTAATTCGGAAAATATTTATCAAATTTCCTTGTTACCTAAGCCATATATTTAAGCCACAATTTAGCAATGTCCACGCGATTTTGTACAATCTAATTGATTTTAATAAAAATCTAAGCTATTAAAGCCATTCTATCATTAATATACTTAGCTAATTAGTAAACCATGTTTTGAAACAAACAATTGAATAATTATAATTAATATTAAACAAACACTTTTTCGGCTCAATAGGTTATTGTCATTTTTATTAAATGCTATTGTCATATTATTATTTGTATCAAAACACAATGTCATCTAGATAAATAACGGCTATGTTTCAGTCTAATAATTTGTAAATAAAGGGGTTTGTCTACTCCCCATAGTGTTCCGGGCCATTAATGGACAATTTCGATAACGTATGTCCTAATTTTGTTTTTTATTACACAGTAGTTCTCATTGTTAAGATTATGGACTAGATTTAGCATTTTTGCAAGTATGTATAATATTATTCTCTTGTGACCTGAAATGAGCGTTTCCAACAAGTATGATCACATCAACGAACATTTTTACCTTTTTCTGCGTCTTAATTCATTAAAAAAAAATTTGGTAAGTTTAGCATGTAAGTATAATATTGTATGTAAGTATATCATGATTTGATACAAGCCATAAATGAATGATCGCAGTACACACAACATATCCATAAGAACGTGTTTTCATTAATTGATAAAGTAATTACGTTATTAACTCTAAACTATTGTCTAGGTTCTAAAAAGTGGAATTATAATATTCGGTTTTAGGCACGCTAACACATCACAAAGCTAAAGGCTATTCTCCCTACGGCTATGAATACTTGAATCGAAAAAAATATTTACAATATTGTGGCAGTTTAATGTTGTCAAATCTCATGATTTTCACAAAGTACATTGTTGATTAAATGTAACGTAAGTATACTCTTATAATTTCAATTCATAAGAAATAGTAATAATTTGTGCATTATTCTTTCGTTCTACTTAGTTTTTCTAAGCCGCAAGCAGTTTGGGACTTTGAAGCTATTTTTCGGTAGAATATTAACTATTTTTTAATATAAAAATCTAGAAAATGTATAAATTCACAACCTATTAATTTGTCTATTTAATTTTAATATAAGATTGTGATTTTATCTTTTTAAATATTTTAATAGAGTTGACTTCGCTTCGATTCTACTAGCATAGTGTTGTCCTAAGACAAGAGTCCATACAGAGTTTCGGCTTCGGTTGGGACTCAGGAGATTTGAGTAGTATTTACAGAATGTGTAGATATACGACTAGGTACTAGAATTTTTAGTTATTAAACACAATTACATTACTAAATATAATAAACCGAAGTAAATCTCATCGATAATGGTAACAGTTCGTATTTTTATAAAATACTAAAAATACATAATATCTAGATATTAATAAAATAAAATACATCTAAGATGTTTGGTCCGAAATAGATGTATTCTGTTAATTAACAATTTAAATGTAAGTTTGGTATTAAGATTATTTCGTTTATAATTTTCCTATAGAAATCCTTTAGAAGCCAAAATAAACTATAGATTGAAAATAAAATTTCAAATGTAGCTAAAGATATAATTATCTTGGTGAAAAGTTGATAAACATATCATATATTTTGTTTTCACGAAGATAAATATTCTGTCATTCTGCGTAATAATTCCTACTATGTAACACCATAATTTCTTAAGAAAGAAACAATAGTATATTTAGGCCTTTCATTCCGCAATTTAAGTTTAAAAAACATTTTAATAACTATATTAAATAAGTCTAATATCTATGTTATTGTCTTATTTCTTTTATTGTCATGTATTCAGAAAGCTCGATAAATATAATATGTAAATATGTCACTATTGGCTTTAACGTTTTATTAAAATTGAAGAAGATCAAACATACCATTTGTAACGAATAAATATTCTAGTAACGTTACTCATTATACTTAATATATCATTTGGTAATAAAATTATCTAATTTCATTTGTCTCAATTTGGATATGATTAAGATATGTAGAGGGGGATATTACTTTTTCAATTAAACATTTATTATTGTAGTAAAATTATGACAGTATTTTAGCACAGCCAAAGGTTTGTAGTGGACACATATTATATTGCTATCTCGTTTTGGTTGAACAATAATTTTCCCAGACAATTTCATCCTCGTAGTTAATATTTCTTGGAGTGAAAAAACATTTATATGGAATTACTCAAAACCATTGACTGACAGGTGCCAGTTTTATCACTCTGCAAAATTTACCAAATGTGTTCACTCCATTCCATATCAATAATGAGATTCAATTCCTGGCAATTCCAGGTGGACAGTGTTTATCTCTTCGGAGATAAACTTTGCACATAATTTGGATCCATTTCGTCTAAATCCCTGCCTTTCGTTTCTGGCACGCAGCACACGACAAAGCAGAGTCCTCCAACACTTATGGACGCGTACAACCAAAACGCGCCGTACAAACCTAGCGCTTGCTGAAAATCCACAAAAGTTTTGACACCGACGAACGCACAAAGGTAGCTAAATGCGGTCGCCATTGCGCTGCCAAAAGCTCTGTACTCCAACGGAAACAATTCGCTTATCAGAAGCCAAGAGATTGGGCTCATGCCTAAGGAAAACGCGATGGTGAAAACCAAAACGCACAGCAGCGGAATCCAGTCATTCTGTCCAACACTCTGGTGGAACATGACATTCTGAATTCTCTGGTTCCTGTGCACCTCCTCGTAATACGCGTAACTGCCGAAACCGGCCAACGCCATGGACATAAGAACGGAACTCACTATTAATAAGGGAAGACGACCGACGGTGTCTATCAAGAGACCGGAGAGGCAGGAAGCTAAAAGTTGAACGAAAGAGACAGCTATAGCTGCTCCGTGGGGGTTCATGCCCCCAAAAGTCTTCCTAAAAATCGGCACAGCGTAAAAGGAGAACGCATGGGCACCGGAAAACCTCTGGAACATCATGAGGCCACAGGTCACTAGTATTGGTCCAAGGAGACGATTCATCGTCCTTACATCTAATGAGCTGATTAGTTGACTACTCGTCATTTGGCTTTGGCGCTGACTGAAGTTCTTACTGGCTAGAACGTTCGTTCGTATCGTCGCCAGTTCTTGCGCTACGTCCGAGTTGGGGCCTCGTAACCAAAGAAGGCTTTTGTAGGCCTCCTCATCTTTTCCGATGAGAACGAGGTAACTCGGTGTTTCAGGTATATAGAGCACTGTACAGAACAACAGTAAGGGAGCGGCGGATATGCAGAGAGCCAGTTGTTGCCAGTCCAGGTAAGCTCCAATAGTGAAGCTGAAGAGGACCCCGAGATGCCCGACCACCTTCAAGACGGCGCTGAGACAACCGCGAATGTCTGGCACGGATATTTCGCTGATGTACACCTGAAAGTTAAAAATAAAATTATCGTAAGGTAGGTTAGGCTAGACACAAGTTTTATAGTACACATTGAATTTATAAATCGAAAATAAATTGAAAAAAAAAAATCGACTCAGGCAGGACTCGAACCAGCATCGTAAGCGCTCCGTGCCGTTGCGTTGTCGGAACGCTGACGATGCCGGTTCAAATCCTGCCCAAGTTGAAAATTTTTTCAATTTATTTTCGATTTTTAAATAATATAGTGCCTTCATGTGCAGTACTAAAGGAATTAGTAATAAGTACATATTTAATTCTTAGTTCCATTTTGTTTTAAAAGATATCCACAATTATTATCTTAAAAATGCTACCTATAAAACTACCAACCTTTAAAAACATACAACCTACAACGAATAAAAAAAATTTTTCGGGGGAAAAAATTTTATTTATTAATAATCATAAAAAAAATATAAAATTAAAAAAAACCTGTTTTTTTTTATAAAAAAAAAAAAAAAAATTAATAAAAAAAATATTAAATTTTTTTTTTTTGGGGGGGGGCCCCCTCTTTTTTTTTTTTTTTTTTTTTTTTTTTTTTCCCCCCCCTCCCCCCCCCCCCCCCCCCCCCCCTAATTTTTTTATTATTTTTTTTTTTTTTTTTTTTCCCCCTTTTTTTTTTTTTTTTTTTTTTTTTTTTTTTTTCTTTTTTTTTTTTTTTTTTTTTTTTTTTTTTTTTTTTTTTTTTTTTTTTTTTTTTTTTTTTTTTTTTAAACCAAAAAAAAAAAAACTCTATAAAACTCATCTCATGTTGTGATAAATAATTAGAGATTAAAGGGGGAAAAGTAGGTAGCTCTTTTTAAATATGAAATATACTAAATCAATATCACAATATCCACGGAAAGGGCTCGGATAATATAAAAGTTTGAAGGCCGAAAACAGTCGAGGCTTATAAGGGTCTGTACAAATAATAATTAGCTTAGCTTGTGAAACTTTTTCTTTTCGGCGAGTTTTATGAAATTCGTCAACAAAAAGTCGGTAGTCGTAAAGAATTTTGAAAACTTTTTGCAAGTTTTAACAATCAATTTTATCTGTAGGGTGTGCAAGTTACTGCGTAGTTAATTTGAAAAGTTTGGTAACATTCAAACTTAGAAACTTCTATTAAAACATTTTTTTAGCTACTGCATTAATGTTAAATATTTTTAATATTAGTTATAAATTTAATTATATATACAATTATTATTATTTACATTGATAGTGTATTCAAATGAAAATATTTAATGAATATGGGTAAGGGGACACAAACTCATCTATGGCGTCTTGTAGTTAGTTATGCGGAAACTGAGCCTGTCCATTACCGCAACGCACACCTTGACAGCAATAGCACACAATCGCACATAAACTTTTGCAACTCCCCAACATTAGGCGGTCGATTTAAGAAGTAATTTTATTCATATAATTTACGCATGAAAAGTACCATTACTATTGAGTCGTATTTTTCAGTGTAATATATTTTATTAATTCCATTATTTCAGACGCCATTTTAATTTTGTGTTGTTTGATTGTGACGCTGTGTGAAATGTGAATAAAAAAATATGTTTTTTAAATTAAATGTTGCTTTTGTCTAAGTGGTGTGAAAACAGTGAAATTAAAGAGTTATCAGTTTATGAAATCATCTTAAGTGAAAAATTGCGTAAGTACCCTTTAATTGACAAAACTATTTACTTAAGAATTTATGAGACACCGATGACAAAGATTTGCATATTTTAGATGAAAAACATGAGCAACGTCAACTTTAAAAGTTGATATTATATTATTTACTTAAATAACATGACAAATAAATTACATACATAATTTTCCTAAATAATGTTAGCACTAGAGACGTGCTTATAGAGATATGTTAAAACTATATGAAAACCCATCTTCATAATCATAACAGGCTTATTCCTGTGATTTTGTTTGCGAGAAAAATTGAAATTCAGCGGTAATCTTGTAGGGTAGTAGTAAGTGTGTAAGTAAACAATTTACTATACGTAATTAAAAAAAAGCTAAAATATGGCTACATCACATTTGCATAATATACGGTTCCGACACGAGAACTTGAGCAAATTAGTCTGAAACCGTTTAGCTATTTGAATCCTTAGGTTAATGAAATAGCATTTCTTTTATCTCAAACTCTGCTAAGGGGGAAATTTATATTAAGTTGTAAAATGAAATGTCCCGGGCGAAATGAACAGTCTTTATCTGTTAACGGTTCGATAGTCAAACAAGTAGGTTTTCATTGGCCGCATGAGGGCATAGCGGTTTTTATAATTATAAATGCAAAGTTTAGTTAAGTATGTTTTGTTCACCGAAAATATCTACCCTACAAGCTCAGCGGGTAGGTCTTGTTGATCTGTCAGTTAGTTCTGGTAAATGTGTGATATAAAATTTAAGGTACCTGATGTATATATTGTTAAAATCAGAAAAGCTTAACTACCCGCCACACTGAAGGCTATATAAACAAGCCTCAACAACGGCTCACACCTTTTTCGCCGCTCGTTGTACGGAACGGACTGCTCCGGTCATAGGATTTTGTTGAATTTTAATTTATTTAGTTGTTGTGTTATTTTGTTTTTATTTTAGTAAATCCGCTTCTGATTCCTAAAATCAGTAGTGGGATAAAATTTTCACGCCCTCAATATTACCATTTTTGCTTTTTATATCGAGATAGTTTTGACCGTTATGGGTAGATAAAGTCGGTCCCGTTCTAAAGGGAAACTATACGCGTAGAAAGCTCACAAGTAGACATTCGCGAATAGGCGATCACGCAGACGTCCCGTAATATCGTAGGAGAGACTATCGTCAAACGTTGACGATTACGTATCGTTCTAGGTCTAGGAGTATATCGTTACAACTGCTTTCAGTCAAGACGTTTCGCGTTTAGCTGCGTTAGAGAATAGTTCGCGACAAGTCGAAACTCTACGGGTCGAACGTTGAGGTTTTATCAACTCGGGGTACGGAAAGAATTGTTGACGCTATTCAATCGTCAAAATCGGTTAACTCGCAGAGTTATTACATTTCAAACTTTGATCCAAATAATCATGACGTTAGCCAAGGTTATGAGTACGGACTCTACGATTACATACGTTCGCGGAGTACGGCGGAAATTATATTGCGTTTACGTATGGTTAAGGGTCTGTCTATGATAATTTTGCAATCATTATACGGGGCATTAAAGATCCACTTGTTAAAATCAGCTACTAATTCTAACCTTGCTCCAATAGTTTAGTAGGATATTTGTTTACTTTTGTCAAACTCCACTGGATCAAATGTGTCTCTTTTCGACCAAATTGCAATTAAAATAATTCAAAACTCGCGTTCAAATAGTCTAGGAGGACCTTAGGTTCGAAATGTTTTGTTTGTAGTAAGGTGGGGGCACAAACAGTCTAATTGCCCCAAACGGCTAGAGCATAGTATGACCCCGTCACAACTTGCGTTGCCTTCAGTATCTAACTATAGTAGTAATAGTTAAGTTGTACTGTTGTAATTTAATATTCTAAGAAAGGGGGACCGATATTAAAGATTGTTTTGCAAAGCAACATCTGAAACACGAAAAAAAAAGTAAAACCACTAGACATACTCATGATAGTGGCGCATTGGGAGTTTCATTGTTTCTTCGTCGGTAGTTAACTTTTTTCGTTAACCGGAATAATGTCAATAGTCAGTGAAAAGGAATAAGTGATTCAATTATTCATCTTAGTTCTTATGTAATCCTTACAATTGAACTTGAGGAGATCTCCTTCGAAGTAGGTTTATTATCGTCCTTATAAAATGTCGTACAATGAAAATTGAAAGTTCGCGAAATAGTAACAGATCTTTTACATAAGGGGATTATTCGCGAATCCGAGTCTTCTTATTCAAGCCCAGTACTTGTAGTAAAAAGAAGGACCCGAACGGTTGACACAAAATGAAGTTGAGCAACACAGGCTCTGCCCAATTGTGGTTCTCTGAAAGGAGAGTGGTGCCCAGCTGTGATCTTCTTTGAATATGAGTAATGTTTTTACGTAATGTTGCAGTTGTGAATATGAGCATCGGCGTGACTTCGCTGGTGTGGTGGTCGTGCACTGGCTGTATAGGAAGTTCTGGGGGAACCCTGGAATGCGACCTGTCCCCATGATGTTTAGCTGTGTGCACATCCTGGAGTTTTCTATGGATGTTTAGCTGTGTGCACATCCTGGAGTTTTCTATGGATGTTTAGCTGTGTGCACATCCTGGAGTTTTGTATGGATGTTTAGCTGTGTGCACATCCTGGAGTTTTGTATGGATGTTTAGCTGTGTGCACATCCTGGAGTTTTCTATGGATGTTTAGCTGTGTGCACATCCTGGAGTTTTGTATGGATGTTTAGCTGTGTGCACATCCTGGAGTTTTGTAGGGATGTTTAGCTGTGTGCACATCCTGGATGTCAGTTCTGCGGTAACTGATGTAACTGGGCTCAAACCGCAGTGCGAGCTCGGGGAATGCGTGCTAGGTGTGGAACGGTTAGCGCAAATTCAAGAAATGTACCATGGTGCATTTCAAGAGTAGACTTTAATTGACATGTGGAAATATGTTAATTAATATAGGTAAAATTGGATTTGGTATGGCCGTACAGAATGATGAATGTAAGAGATGAGTGATACCAATAATTTATGTGACTGTGATAGTTCATTTTTAAGAACTTGGTTTGAAAGGGGCCTTGAAAGCGAGATGAATGATCGTACAGGCAACTTGCTGGGTTAGCGCTAAACAATACAGACAATGGTATCTCCTATAGGTGATGACGATCAGGAAGATTCGGCAGAAGCAGGGCGCGAGCGGCGAGGTCCCCAAATACCCGCCATCGTGGATGTGCGCTCGTGCGTCTCTCTCAATGTTGTGGTGCGAAGAAACGGTGCTTCGGGTTGCGCGGTCACCGCTCAGCCGAAGTACAGAGGGCCTGCAGGCGCTGCCCTAGGTCGTCGAGCTCGTCCCGGGCCCCTGGTCGGCCCGCAGGCGACGCGGCTCGAGGCGATCGGTTCGAGGACGACTCGGTCTCGGGATGTGGCTCTCATGCTTCGGCCAGCGGATCTTTTTCCATAGGAAGACGGCTGCAGGTAGCCGTCCCCACTGCGCACAACTCACGCGAGGGGGTCGCGACAGAGGAGGTGCCCGAGGACGGACACGGTCAGAGAGGCCGTGTTAGAAATCAGAAAAGCTTAACTACCCGCCACACTGAAGGCTATATAAACAAGCCTCAAGCAACGGCTCACACACTTTTTCGCCGCTCGTTGTACGGAACGGACTCTGCCGGTCTAGGATTTTGTTGAATTTTAATTTATTTAGTTGTTGTGTTATTTTGTTTTTATTTTAGTAAATCCGCTTCTGATTCCTAAAAATATGTATATGTATATTATGAATATTTACCGGAACATTTCAGTACGCAACATTCTATTTGATATTTTACTTTGAAACACTCAACTTGTCCTGTATTTCACCAATGTAAAGAAGCCTCACCTGCGAGAGCATTGTTAATATGGAGCAGCAGAACCCGCCCAGGAAAGCAGTTATGCACATCATTCTCACGGAGGTGGCTAGAACAGTCAGAAGCCAGGAGAGGCTGCAGGGGGCGGCGGCCAGTGAGAGCACGCGGCGTCTCCCGTGACGCATGGCCGCACCACCAGCCATGCCGCCGAATAAGGCACCTGAAAAATCATTCAATTTTCGTGGGTCCAGGGTAACTTCACAGAAAGACGATGCTATCATGCTAAAACAGTTATACTATTTGATTGTTTAATTGTTTTTTAGCGTAAAGCAGAGCAAATGATAGATTTGGTGGAAATTTAGGATTACTTAAAATAAGATGTTTGTATTTCTTGGATAAGATTCCTAGAAGATTTGCCATAGTGCATGTTTTGGCTTTTGCTTCCAATGTTTAATGTACATATTCATATTTCGTATAAATGATCTGTCCACAAACGCAGACGTTCCTTAGATAATCTGTAAGCAAGCAACTACAATAATGGAAAGTTGAACAAATTATAGATACGTCTTACATGGATGTATTACCCTTCTGTGGATAAGAATAATCTCTTAAATATTACGTACCAAGAAATGACAGCGAAGCGAGCCACGAGGCCTGCTGATCGGTTAGCTGGAAGTCCCGTCTGGTCGTGTTACCGGGACCTTGGAGCGAGGCAATGGCTGGCGAACTATAGCCTTTACCCAGGCCAGCTGAGAACGGGGCCAGAGAGACTGCCAACGCAGCGATAACCTAGTAAAAAAAATGAGTTAATATCTCCTGAAAATGTAAAAGTAATGTGAGATTCGTCTTTTCAAGCCTTCTTGTGTCTTTTCAGTTGAACTTGTTTTTGTGTTAAAAATTAATTTTGTTTAATTCAATATTCTAGCTTACTTGATTGTTTGTTTAAAAATATTAAACAAGATAAAAGACTCACACAAAATTAATTAAATTAAAATTAAGAACATTACGACTTTACATTTGATCGCGTTAATCAAACATTTTTCTATTTAATATCGAAAGCTTAGAACAAAGCCATTTACTATAGAATACTAACGCAGTACCCGTTTCACTCTATATATAATTTACATGAAATAATTAAGGTGGGACGAGATAAAGAGTGTTTCTAGAAGGTGTTTACCCAAAAATCAATCTGGGCTGCGGCACGTAGCGTACGTGACAAGGAATGTTTTTGTTAAGACATTTATTTGAGGTTTATTTTAAAATGATTGCACCTATCACTAGGTACCTAGTTCCCGAAATCATAAACCTGTTAATATACGAATATCTGCATGCATCGGGATTATGATCAATTTAATATTAAGTCATTTTGTATTGTAAACCTCTACTATACTATATCTTACGGTAGCAAAAAGTAAGTTAAGTATATATAATATCTATTTTAGATTAAAAAACTTGAACCGACGTCTACAGCGTGCCGTGATGTTGCTCTAACCAATTGAGCTACCGTTTTACACGTCATAACTAAGTGAAAATAATCATTTAAAATTTTTCACAAAGTCAGCGCCGTTTTAAAAATTACAAGAGGAATACGTTCAATAAAAACTTGAAATTTCCTTATAAATGGTTTATTAACGAGTTAATCGTTAATAAACAATTTATAACGGAGGCACGGGGTGCGTAAATAATTTCCCGCGCAAATGACGCTTAGACTCGGTCCTCGCAACCGCCGTATAAAAATTAATTAAAATCTAATTCCCCGCCTCGGTGGGTCAAAAACCTAAAAGTTTCCAGTCGCAGCCTCGTTAACCCCTTCGGAGGCTCAAAGTGCTTGCAGAATCGTTAATTTTGGATACGCCTTAAGTTAAGTTGAAATTGGCGAGGGCTATCGTCAGGCGAACGAGATAATATCGACAGCTCTGCAATATTCTGACCTAATTTTGCTCGCGTTTGCCCAGAAGTTGTTTTAGAATAGAAAGTTATTTTATGCATAAGGTAGATGGGTACTGTCTAAAAAATATAACTCGTCTTACTTTGTTAAGTGGGTTTTTTAATGTAGAAATGTTGGCATGTACAAGATTGGGGTTCTCATGGCGCAAGGCGAAATACCCAAACAAAACACGCTGTCGACCTATTTTTGGCTTTGGAAGGTCAGATATACTCACACTAACTTTACGGCTTTTCCATCTGTGGATGGTGGTTCTTGGCCAGAATTCAAATATTTCTATCACCCATTTAAATTGGGCGAAGATGAATATGTTTCGGAAAAGGATAAAAATTATTGGTCTTGGCAAGAAATAAACTCACTATCCCCTGATTTAACAAGCCAATTTTACTTTGTATTAATAATGTATTAGGTCAACTTATTTGGATGCTTTGCAGCAGTCGTGGTCACGGGGGGATATATTAATTAATTTCGCGATTTAAAACCTATAAGTGTTTTATTTATATGTAAAAACTCCTACTCGCGCTAACTGCAGACATTACCTAACGAGACAAACGTATATAAGACACAAACATTTAGAATATACATATAAAAACATAATGTTGGGATTTACATGTTCTATGTAGGAAATTTTAATAATAATATAAATTAATATTACAATCAAACTAAAATAGCCTATTCTGTAACAATTACAAAGTTTAATTTCAACAGCCCATAATCAAATATGTTCTTCGTTTTATTCGAGTTCGGCGGTTCTAATATTGTGGCTTCTTAAGTAAATGTCGTCGAAATTAACTAATATTGTTCCACTATGAGGTGAATTTCATTCTCAGTTCTCATGGTAAATTTTTTAATTTCAATATCTACCTAATTTGACAAGACTAAAATAAATACATTGAATGCTATCGATGTTTGCTGTAAATAGCTTAAGAATGTATTGATTATTAATATAATGGTATTAATAATAGATTATAATGAAGTTATGATTTATCCTCTTAATATATCCTTCTCATACAACAGATTTTTTACGTTTCACAACACTTGCACTTGCTATTTAAAAGCAACGTCTCAAAATTACGTACAGTATGGGTTTTGGTTCAAGTCATTTATTTACGCTATCAAGTTAAGAAATAAATTTCATTCACACGTAAACACAATAATGTACAACACATAATATTACATGCGAAAAGGTACGGATTCACAATTATAATTGGATATATAACTATTAATTATTGATATTATGTTAAATTTCGTTAAAAATATTAAATTAAATGTTTTATACCATAGTGGGAAATAAAAGTAAACGTCTGCATATGTACCTAGTTAAATGTATAGATACGCCTACATATATTCATTCTTGTAAGCGTCTGTAGTGCCTTGACAAAACATATGTATTGTCTTTTACAGTGTGGGTTAATATTGATCCTTTATATCATTTTCACTAGCTTACACAATGCCTTCCTCATTTAAAAGATATTAACAAGAGCGTGAAAGTTAAAAACGTTTTTTACACAATATGGTTTTCCACTCCACATTAAAAATATGTAAGGTAATCGTATAGGAGATCCGGAGATAAAACGAAAGTTACAAACAACTTGGCATCTAGTCAAGTTCCATTGGGATTTATAAACGCAAAACCGACAGTGGCTGGTCAGTGTGTACAGAATAAGAGCAAATATACAAAGTTATGAAATAGCAGCTGACCGCAGTCCGCATTAATATCAGAAATAATTCCAGCGTCCAAAGAAATCCGCTAAGCGCTGGTCTTGAGCTCGGTCGACGGTTCTAAGTTGCGGGCCCCGAACTAAGCGATGTTTCCGGAGAGCGTACAAATAAGCATTCGTACATTAAGAAAAAATGTATCTTTTTGAAATATTCATTGTAGACCTCGTATATGGTTTTCTGGGACGTTTTGAGAAACTAAACGAACGAACATCTCACGATGACGTCCATCCGCGATGGCGAAACGTCGATAACCATTACTAAATTACGACCGCCGAAAATCCAAGTAAAATAATTTTAAATAATTACTTGGTTTAAATACAAATTACAAAAGTTTAAATACTTGTGGTTCAGACGATAACGCCAAAAGAAACATTCACAAGTAATCTATTGAAAATGTAGACAACGCTAAACTGCCGACAAGATCTAATAAGAAACTCTCTTATATCTATTTCACAAGACGTTTCCAAGGAAATTATATCATATTACTATGTGCATGTAGTAGTGCTCTTCCTTACAGCTTCCAGCATAAGCTTTTCGGTATAAATATTAGAAAAACTGAAGACTTAAGATACAACTGCCGAAGTCATTTTATCGCGGCCCCGCAAAAAATAGCCACTTTCGTAGCGCTGACCTAATTATTAATCTGCCACAAACAGATTGAAGTAATCATTTCACTTTCAGATTTTGATGTGACGAGTCAATCCTTAATAGAATTTCTCGGAAAGGGCATAATGGAAATTAACTTAAATAAGAAAGAGACAATGCAGAAAACCTTCCATTATCCTATTTCTTTTGAGAATTTGATAATTAGCGAGGAATATAAAATGTAGTAGTCATATTTCTCTTGTTATTATGCTTTATGATTTTGAAAGTGTATAATATGTCTATTATATTTAACTGAACTAATTTTATAAATTCAAATGTTTCATGTGTCTTTATGTTTTTTACACCTTTTTTGGACCTGGTCGCAGTCTAAGTATTGGACGCACCAGCTTCAAAACATAGACTGTTTTATTCCGAAAAATATCAACGGGACTAATAAGGAATTATATAATGTGATTCCTGCGGAGTTACTTTATGATTTCTCAACTAAGCGCAGAGAGCGTATTGTGCCATAAACACCTTTTGTGCAAAAAGCTATAGCTGAAGTATTGATTGTAAGCCCGCGTTGCACACAGCTCTAAATATGACAGGGAGCTCTCGTAAAGCTAAATGGCGCATAAACATCGTCATTTTACAGCGGAGCTTCAGCGGTCAGAGTGTAACTCAAGTTTGGGCAAAACGGTCGGTTTAATGACGTCATTATCCCAATCTTGACCAAGGTTAATCGCATGTAAACCGTATAGCTTTATGATTATCTCTGTATAGGGTTGAACAGGCTTTAATGGCTAGTTGTTATGGGCCTTGAAAGTGATCTGTTATTTGGGACACACAATTTGGCTTAATAATTTACTTGTAGATTACATCTACAGTAAAATACTTTCACTTGGTTCCTGGAACTAAAAATATGCGTTAACTGCTCAGGAAGCAAATCATTTTTTGTATAGTTTGGCTTCAAAAGGGCTCTTTAAGAAGCGTACGAATGCTAACTGCATTATTTGAAACCAAAAGAAGTACCCGAGTGAAATGCTGTTTCTTCACTATTCATATACGTCCTTAATAAATAAGACTTTTATGCATCAGAATAGTGAAATAATGTATAACTTAGTAGGCTTTGATGGTGTGAATCTAAAGCTTACTATAAGTTTTATTAAACTATTGCAAGTTATCACTAAGTTAAGTTGGCTACAAAGTAGATAAGCCATACCTGAGGTAGATGTCGAGACTTGCGCGTCACCGGCTTCTTTGTTTCGCCCGATAAGCATTTGCCATTTGGAGCCGAACCGACTATCGCATCCTTCCGTTCTTTCAGTATCGGTATGTTGTGCTTCTCGAAATACCCGTTTTGTATCATTTGGTCTAGCGAGACCTCTAGCTCTCTGGCCGCCACCGTTTTCTTCCCGCACACCGGGTCGTCCACCACCATTTTCTGGCATCCCGAAACTTCTGAGAACTTGACGATTTTCTTCGTTTCGTCCTTTCGTTTCTTCTCCTTCGGGAAGTCCGTCGTCCAATAGCGGACGTTCTGTTCCGGTAAACGCAACGGCTTGCATACGGCGACGTTTTTCGGTTTGGACGTGAACTCTTGCCTTCGTTTCCGTTCGTAATCATAAGACTCGCGCGGCCTTCTCTCTTCGATTCTGAAGTCGTAGTAGTCTTTTTTGTATCGTCGTTCGTTGTAATAGTTGCGCGGTAGTGAGTTGTATTTGGTGTAGGTCGTCTGCAGGTTTAGATATTCCGGTCTGATGGGTCGGAATAGAGAGAGGCGGCCCTGCGCCTCGTCGAAGTCCGAGTAGATATCCTCGTAGACGTAGCCGTTTCGTCGCGGGCGCTCGTATCGGTATCGATCGTTCCGGAACCGGTTCGGCTCTGAGCGGTTTTCTTCATAGCGATGATCGTAGCGTCGTCTTCTCTCATATTCGTAATCCAAGTCTGTTCTTCTATCGTACAGTAGCCTTTCGCGCGACCCCGCCATTCTTCAGTCTGTAAACGAAACTGTATTACATTATATTTCAAACTAAGATTCTTATCTACTTCACTGTGTTCATAGAAATGTTATAGTAAATATTTAAATAAATATTTTTTGAAATTCAAGAAAAACCACTGAATTCTTAATTTTCTAATTATAAATAAGGGCATTTTAATTCAAGATAAACTTTATTTTCTTTCATACATACCTACATACTTAGTAACTAATTATAATACATAGAATCTAAAGTTTTTGAGCAGAGGCGGTAATATTTTCCCCCTAATAATTTTTCATGAGAATAACACGATTATTGTGTAAATGTTTTTCTTTTTGCAAAGTTGTTTGGACAAGGTCGGATTATTATAATCACAATGAGACCGGGGAGCATTTATTTCGGTTTTACAAAGCTTTTGTGAATATTTAGCGAGATTTTGGCGTTGTTTCGATGGTCCGGAATGTGTAGTGTCGCATAGCGGCAGGCCTTGGACACTTTTGTCCCGGGTGTACTGATTTTTATATATATATATTGTAATGCTTTAACCCACATTTAATAAAGGTTTAGTGACTGTCTGGGGTCTTCGCGGTGTTTTGAGATTATGTGACAGAAATTATAGCGCTATGCATTCCCTTTTAAAAATAAACATTTAGTTATAATGGCTATATATTTTTGATTGTGATTTGATTTTTCGTTTTGGTTTTGCATTTACAAAATCTGTATTAATGTTTTTATTAAATGTCCCAACATTTAATCGAAATTTAAAAAGGAAACTAAATAAAGAAGTAGTGTAATAATTGTTACAATTCGTTACGTTTTTTCTTAGACTCTTAGTAAAAATATATAAAAAAGTTAAAACTGAATATCCAAATGTACGTATTTCATCTTATGTTAAAACTAATTAATTTAAAAGATAAATAATAATTGCAAATTAATTAAAAGCCGTATTATACTGGAAACTCATAACAGTGAATATAACAGCAGTACTAATGAGATCATATTGAAACAGCGGAATATGCACAGATTTATTTGCATACAAAATGCAATATTCTGGGTGGAAAATTGAATTAATTAGGGTAATTGGTAGCCGACTGTGGAGTTCTGATTCGATCGCAACATTTATTAGATCTTCCTTGCTTTCGTGATTACGGTCGTCACTTGTGTGTTGCCATGGCTAGTACCTATGTTAAGTGTTCACCCATCATATGGTTCTAAATTGTTTAAATAGTAAGGTTGTTAGTATGTACAAAACTACATAATAATGATAGATTTTATAAATATGGTACAACAATTAGCGGTAGACGTAGAAAATAATTTGCTTCACATTAGAATGCATCATTCTCGTCTCGTTTATCCGAAAATATTTGTGAAAGAAAGAGAATTTATTTATGTGAATAAAATTTGACAGTGATACGATCCTGTCGTAAACGCTTTGGGGTTGACGAGCTAAAGATGAACTTCGACATACTTGCTAGTGATGCCACATTTGCATTAATGATATTATTTCAAATACATATCTATATATAGATTTAACCTTACATAAAAAAGTATAATTGAATAAAGACGAATAAGATAGCCTATCTAGAAACAGAAGTTATATTAGCACATTACCTAATATTGAATAGAAAGGTTCTATCGAACGGTCCTACACCAGCATATGAACACTATAATAACATATCTGGAACAATGTCTGTCTGTTAAATAGTCTAGTAGAAGTAAAAAAACTAATGCTTATAAGTTATTATAACCGACAAAACAACATTACTTCTAATTTAAAATGTTGTTTGTTCGTAGTGCGGATACATACGTGAACTTCACTATCAGTCAACTTACCGACAACGTTCAAACTTACCGACAACGTTTCGTCACATATAAATTTAGTTTAAATTACTGTATTATTCGTATTGACCGATTTCCGACAGACAATCTTGTAAATCTTATAGAATGGTTGTAACAATTAATCGATGAGCCGAGAGCATCACTAGACGTGGCGCAGTGCGGTACCACGAATCTTCACGTCCGATAAATCTCCAACAAAACGTTTCCTAAACGGATAACATTATTCATGAAATTCATAATGATATACATTTACAGTGTCAGCGTTTTATGCGCTCTTAGTTCCTTACTGGTTGATAAAAATAGCAAACTAACCTTTCATGTGTAACGTCTTTCCAACCTATATCTGATGTGAACAAATTGTTCTGATCCAAACCTAAGCTTTTGTTAAAACTCAACCTGTCATAGATTCGATTTACAAGGAAAGATTATAATTTGTGCGAGGTGTAAAGGCAGATCATCTGATAGTCGCTTTAAAGGGAATCTATCAATGAAGGAGACATTCTTGAGTCTGCCCTAAAGCATGCTTTGCAGCATCCGAAACGTCGGGCCGAAGTTAAAAATCATTTTCAAATAAGTTTAACTAATATATCGCGTTTTAAACCGTTAAAGTGTTATATTTAAATGTGTACTACTCGCGTAAACTATAGACGGTATTTGCTTCACTATGATTGTCTAACTAGTTCAGAAGCAAAGACAATTCATGCATAAGTACATGTTTGTCGCGCGTGTGCTTTCTGTAAGTGTTGTTTATTGAATTTTAAATGATAATATAAATATTTATCATTTACAAAAAGACTTACCAGGTCCTACTTCCTATAGTGAGAAAAGCGTAGAGGAAGAACCTAGAGTACATCTTAACCCAGATTGTATGATTTTGACATGAACCCGCTCTTCGCGATTGTAATTAGGTTATGATGAGTAGGTCACAAAGGTTGCTGTGTTGTTCTAAGGCCCGTTACATGACTATCGACTTAAGATGGCTTCAATCTTAACTCAAGGTCCGGTGGCCTTTTTTCAATACGTGAATTTATTATCTAGATTGCTACAAGTAAAATACATTTATTTTCTCTTTGTTACAGATACCTGTTCGACACAATCCGATAGTTTAGCGGAATGTTCGGTAAGTGGAAGAACTGCATGATCCTACAAATATTTCTGAATTAAGTAATTGAGGATGTTTAAACTACGTTTTACGCACGTGAAATATATATAAGAACATGTACGCAGTAGATGTTATGAGCTTGTAAAGCAGCCACTTTGCATTGAATATTAGTCGCGCCGTTACAAAAGTTGAAAGGCGCAATTTGAATATCCTATTGAGGCAAAAAGAGCTTCGGAAATCGATCGTCGCTTCGGAACAATCAGTGCTTTCTGTAAAAAAAACGGCTAAGCGTGAATTAAACGCAGCGTTTTTCGGTTTATTGGTGAAGAGAACGAGAACAGCTTTGCATGCAGTCTCCGCATATTTGTATATCTAACGTATAATAATACTCAAAACGCGCTCTAATATAGTTCTTCCTTTATGGACGTATAATGCCCACTCGACTCCGTAATTTGTTTTTCTAATGATAACTACACATACAGGGGACCAGGGCAATTGACTAATAGTTGCTGATTATGCGTTACATTCTAGATACAGCTGATATCACCGCATTTATTATGGACCTTTAAATAAAAAAAAGTCTAGCAATCTACACCAGTGGCTTCAACACAACTCTGGCAGTAGGTTCAAAAGACAGCATACAACTGTCGCATTGCGTCCTGTTGCGTCTCATGAGTCATGACGCAGTTGCCAAATGGCATTTTATTAATTGACATAACGTGGAGCTTTGCCTAAAGGCACGACTTTTCCTTTTTTAACTGCGAAGTGGTCATTCTAATAATAATCTGATCTTTAAGACAATTAATCAAAATTATGCTAATATAAATAATAAAAAAAAAAAAATAAATAATTTTCTTTAGAGAAACCAAAGCAATAAACTAATTTTTCACTAACTTTTTGTAAAGTAAAAGGATCTCGTAGTGAGTCTACGCCGTAGGTGTTGTAGTGAGCGTGTAGACGCCTGAACATTTATCACACATTTATTTTACTGTCTAAAAATTACCTTTTTATAACGTTCTTATATTAATATTTTAGTCAAGAGTAAAATAAAAACTTCAAACATCCTAGTTCTTTCGGGATTTTCGGCCCAAAATGAATGATTTTCGATTTTATTATTTTGCATCATCCGATAAACTTCATCTAGTGGTGCGGCTACTTCAAAAGTATAGATGTATGTAACCTAGGTTGTGGGACACTTTTCTTAATATAAATAATGGTTCAACTTATTTATATTTCAATTAATATGTTTTAGAAAATATGTAGCAAAATTATGATAACAATAATTATTATCATTAACAAATTTTTCTTTAAAATTTATTTTCAAGATTAAATAAAACAATACATTATCTTAAATTATAGATCCTCAACATAAATTGCAAGAGTCTGCTATCTATCCCGAAACTCTGAAACTATAAAAGTTGTCCTATAAAACCTAACTTCGCCAGTCGCTTGAAGAAATATTTCGCAGAGAACAATTTGGGCGGAGCAAGGTCGACACAAAAATGTCGCAAATTGGAAAGCCGACGTCGCTTGTGTATTTGTATGGCTCTGAACCGACGTCGAAAAGGAGGATATAGTTGGTATGAAGAGAAAGAGACTTGAAATTTTCCTTAGTTTCAATGTAATGTAAATTGTAGTTACGTTGAATTAATTCGGTCTCCATATTAAATATAAGTTATTTTCAATTTTCTCTAAGAATCTAAAACTAAAACAAAAATTTAATACATTTAAATTCAATCCATTACGAAAACTCATTTGGATAAACAATTATCTAAGGAAAAATTCAATCAAACGTCCATTAAGATTTATATCGTTCAAATCAATAACGAATAACAATGGCTGCGTATGTTTAGCCGGTACAAATCGGAAATTATCTGCACGAACCGGATGTAACCGGATTAATCCGGATCACCTGCTCATGCTTTTAGTTTGATTTGATGGAAATTGATTTATCAAATGCGTGCTTGGACGTAGAAATAGTGTATTATAAGTATGTATTTCGGTTTATTTCAGTATAGTCTGAGTGATAATATCTAGTTCTGGGTTCGAAACACAGGATAAGAAATTTTT